CTAAGCCTGCCCCAACCGAGCCTGAGATCGAGCCTGAGCCACAGGCATCGAAGAAGACAAAATCGAGCAAAAAGTCCAAGGCTGTGGCTAAAACCCCCGAGCCGACCATCCATGATCAAGTAGAGGATGTTAGTGATCATGAGAACCGTCTAGATTCTCACGTGCAACCGGTTGATAATGAACCGGAGGCACCTGAGCCACCAGCCCCAAAAACCAAGGTGGCAAAAGCATCTAAGAAAAAGGGGACAAAGAAGACTAAGACTGAAGAGATGATAAAAGCACAGTCGCCAGAGCCGCGAGAATCTTCAGGACCTAGGGCTCGCGATGTTCGGGATGATTCCGAGCGTCATGACTCCATTTCTGTCGAGATTGTCAACAAGGAGCCGGAGCATGCGTCGGAGCCTGAAGAACCAATGGCCAAGGCTGAATCTAAGAAGAGTTCCAAAAAGAAGGATGCTACATCAACCAAAGAGAAAAAGTCTAAGAAATCTGAGAAAAAGGCAGAGCCAGCGCCTGTTCTTGAACCCACAGTCGAAGAATATCGTGTTGAGCCGTCGGTTGAGGAACATGATGATGAATTCGATACTACAGATGATTTGCCTGACCAACTCGAGATGGTCAACCCTCCCCAGGAGCCTTCTCCCCCTCCACAAGAGATGTCTCCCGAGCCACAATCTCATCGGAAGACGCCTAGTCTACCGCCGAAGACTGCCAAACGGTATAGCGATATTCCCCACGAAGAGCACCTTGCAGAGAACCTAGTCCAAAGCCAGGCCTCCCCTCACGAAGTGCATGACTCTCGGCGGAATTCAAAACGCTCTAACCGGGCAGTTTCACCACTTCCGGCCGTTCACCAAAACACTCCCTCGCTATCACCCCAGTCATCAGATGCCGAAAACCGGCCTCCATCGTCGCGGCCCTCAGCATCCCGTCCACCTGTTCAATCAACACCGAAGCATCCCGAGTTCCGAGCCCCTCTGGCAGTTAGCACCCCATCGCCATCCAAACGCAACGCCAATGGTGGATTTGGATCTTCCGGCCAGCCATGGACACCGGTGGATATTGATGAAGTGCTGTTTGGAGAGGCTAGCGACAAGGAAAATGCAGATTTATCTGAACTTTTCAAAGGCGTTAAAGCTGGCTTGACCAGCCCAGAGAAGAAGATGACGGTCCAAGAATGGATCGTGTGGAACGCAAAGAATGGTGAAGAACGGCTGAAGAGAGAATGCGAGCGACTTGTTGGCCAATTCGAGAAGGAAGGTGGCCGAGCAATGCAGCGACTCGAAGCCATCGAGTGCATCGACTGAATCAACAGTCACTATGTTTTCGGATGATATGATTTGCATGTTAGGCGTTATGCTAGGTGTTGGACAACCCTTGTTAGATTTTAAGCTCGCAATTTGAATTTCGGAAGTGCCATTTTTGCACATGAAGAACATGATCATAAAAAAAAAGCCTGAAATATATGCCAAAACACCATGGGTATCAATAATAGAACGCGCACCCCGAGAACAAAACTCAAGAAATGATTCCCAACCGGCCCTCCCAGCTATCATCCTCCTTCTTAACCTTGTCCTTCTTCCTCTTCTCATTGCGCTTGCGCCTCTTCTCCTCCCTCTCCTTAGCATCAATCTCCTCCCTCTCCTTAAGCCGTACCCCCAGATCAAGCTGCCAAGCCTTGCGCTCTTCCTCGTCCCTCTGTCGCTTCCGATGCGAAAGCATCCTCAACCGCAAGCGCACGTCCTCAACATTCGCCCTTTTCACCTCGCCACTCTGACCGGTCGCAATCAAATGTTGTTTGCTGTTCAAGTGCTCCACAAGCTGCAGGTTATCCTTGTAGGTAAGATCACAATCCTTGCAGTAAAATCCGGCACCAAGGCCGCGCTTTCCCATTCCCGAGCCTGAGGGCACAATCATGGTCTTGCCCACCATGGACGCGACGTCCAGGCGCTGGTTGCGGGCCGTGGTATCCTCGAGCATGCTGTAGTCGACTGGCGCATGGTATTTCTTGCCCAGTAGTTTCGCTTCGTAACGGGCTTTGCCTTCGGCTTTGCGCTTTGCTTCAGCGTCGGCCGCTTTTTTGGCATATTCTTCACGGTCCCAGGTTTTGCGGAAGGCCGTGTCCGACACCGGGGTGCCGTAGGCGTTTGGATTTGACATATTTGTGGCTGATATTGAGGTTTTGTTTTGGGGAGATGTAATGGGCGGTTGGTGCGTGGCGATCTTTAAAAGTTGAAGCTTCCCAGGCTGAGGCCGATATTGAAGATTACGTAATCGGTACTAATTTCCAAGGTTCCAAGCTCAGGTTCCACGCCCAACCCGTGCCTTCAATCATGTATACATGGCTTCTAGGACGCTGAAAATAGGCAGCTGTTTTGGATCAATCCAACACTTGATGATTGAATTGGATAAATAGCTCCAGCTAGAAATTAGCGTCTGTGGCTGCGATTTCAGGCAACAGTTTTCGATCCGCTCGTATAAGATGAACAACACCACCCTCACGTCGAATGTACACAATTGAGCTACGAGCAACAGCCTCTGAAAACAAGTCTAAAAACATGGAGTCACTCCAGTTCCTCTCCCGTTCTCAATCCACCAACGCCAATCTAATGACCCTCCCCTCGGAACTCCACATCCAAATAAGCACCTACCTTTCCTACCCAGATGCCCTTGCTCTAAAACACAGCAGCCGTCACTTCTACTCAATAGTCTTCACAGGAGTGCGCCTGAAGGTTGACTGGCTCATCGAACGTTTTGAGCATAAACTCGAATGCCCCATGGAGAAGTGCTCGTTCAGAACGGACGAGTCATTTTGCAAGGGGCGAGTCTGCCGCATTATGGAGCGCCGTCGGTGGCATCTTGAGTGTCCGCGGATTAAGGGTGGCTGTCTAATTGTTAATGGCCAGACATGCCGACCGGATTTAATGCCCGGTTGGTTTAGAATGAGGACACAGGGGAAAAGGAGAGCCGTCAAGGTGATGGAGAGCTGGGGGCATGAAGGTTTGTTCACTCTTCGGTTCTATTTTCTCCGCATTTGATAGAGATTGGCTAATGCCGTGCCGAATAGCCCTTATGATTGGCATTGTGGCTGTTTTGCTGAACTTTTTGTGGCATTTTTCCCAGAGGTGAGGCATTGTCTCGTGTTGGCTTGCGTGTGGTTTGAAGACCCTGCTGATTGAACTCGCCAGAACATGATACCTCGATAGCAGATTAAGAAGAAATTATACAGCTATTAATTGAGCTATAACTCGAACTTTCAGCCATGTCTCATGCCAGGTTGGCTGAGCTCGGAAGTCAATCAACAAATGCCGACATATTTCGCCCTTTATGGCCAACCATGAAGTTGAACTAGCATGTCCTAATGAGTGGAATGAGGACCTCGTCGCCATGAGGGATTACTCGAATTGCGACCTAACAATCACGCTCACAAAAGGCTCTTCATGTTGTACTGTACACAACGGTGTTTCATTTTGCATAGGCATGATGTAATGGAGGTTATGCGGAGAATCCAAATGCACCCCGACGGAAATGCATCCATGTCGAGACACATTACCAGAGAGTCAGGCCTGTGAAGACCTGATCTTCACAGATTACCAGCTTTCTGGATGCAGTGATGCAGTGAACTTGAACTTGACCTCATCTCTAGCCCTAATCCTGATCTTATCGGTGACGTCACATTGACGACCGTGTATACATATTTCCTATATAGCTTCTCATTGCTCCATCTTTCTCAGACTCTCTACTTTGCTATATCCTTTCATTACTTAAGCATTAAACAAAAATGTCTACTACAGATGCCAATATCAACACCAAAACGGGCAATCACCCCGTAGATCCCTACAAGACCCAGAACTTCGAAGACCCGCCTCTCCCTCAGAAGATCGAAGAGCTGGTTGAATTTATCAACCAAGTTAAATTTGGCATGTTAACAACCAAACAGTCAGAGGGCGACTTTCTGGCCTCGCGATGCATGGCATTAGCCGCGACAGTATGAGTATAGCCACAATAAACGAAAAGAACATGCTAATCAATCCCCCCAAATAGGAGAACGGCGGCGTTGACCTCATCTTCCACACAAACCTCTTCTCCGGCAAAACAATGGATCTCACCGTGCACCCCAAAGAAACAAACATGTCCTTCCTGGACCCCATCAGCGGAGCCTGGGCCTCCATCTCAGGCACTGCATCAGTGATTGGTGATCCCGCCATCGTGAAGAAGTACTACTCACCTGCACTCAAGGCATGGCTTGGCGATATGAGCGATGGCGTGCATGATGGCGGACCATCCGACCCCCGCATTGGCGTTATTAAGCTCGAGGCCAAGTTGGCCACACATGTTGTTGCGCACAAGGGCGTGATTGGCCGTGCCTATGAAACTGTTAAGGGTGCTGTGCAGGGCAACGTTCCTCATGTCAATGGCATTCGGGAGCTGAGTTTGACGGAATTGGCTGAGTGTAAGTCTTTTTCTATTTTTTTTTATCTTTTGGATATGTGCAGCAGAAATTCTAATTAGTCTCTTTAGGGCGCCGGACGCATCAGGAATAAGTATTAAGTATTTCCAAAAGGAAACTCGAAACAAGAACACCCTGTTTTTAAGGAGGTATATAACACTCTGAGCGGAAATGAAGACAAATGAATTTGAATATTAAATATCCTACCTCCCCAATGATCTTTTTGCTTGACATTTTAGCTCCGAATTGGTCCCTTGTGCCCACTCTATATCGTCTCTTGGGTCTGGTCTGAAGGCGTAGGTAAAAAGCCGACTATGACAAGAAACTCAGCGCTCCTTTTTACAGCATCTCTCAATCGCAACGGCATGTTACCACGCTTCTGCCGCGAGCTTCCCACCATTCGCTCATCGCTCTGCAACACCGTAATCATGTGTGCTAATGGCCACAGGCGATGTCTCTCCCTTGCAACTTCAATATCGGCACGTACAAGAGCCAGCCAGTCTGACGTGCCCTTAGCCTGAAGCCTACAACCTAGGGTTCCGAGAATGGCCTAGAAATCCCTCCATGCCATGCCATCCTCTGGCTCTTTCCCGCTCACTTTCTTCATTTCTTTGCCCAGTACTGCGTCAATAATCACTGTAGCTGTGGCTGTGACGTCGGATATGGAAAGCCACCCCTCCACCTCAGCAGCGTTGTACTCTCCTATGTCAATGCACGTCGCCGCCAGCCGCCAGATATAGTCATCCGGGTTTGAAAGGCCCTCGGTTGGTGTTCCAATGACCCATCCTTGGTTGAAAACAGTGAGCCAATTGGTTTTGAATCGGCTGCGTTGTGTCGCGCGCTTGACTACAGCCTCAGCGACAAACTTGGTCTAGCTATAGGCGATTGCGTTGTCTGCTGAGAGCTCCTCTGCAACATCCGGCTCTTCGTGGGAGTCCCAAGGCTGACCACCTGTAACATATACGAAACTCATGCAAGGGAGACCTATGGCGAGGAGTAACAGCTCCATCGTTGAGCCAACATTGGCGGCCTCTAAGACTTCGTATTTCCCGGTCTAGCTATTACATTACACAACGCTAAATCTTCGAAGGTTTGGATATGATATGCGATGAGTGCACTGAAAACAAGCCGCCATCCCTATGCCCTGATGCTTTGACTTCTTTCATGGGTGTCACGAGGGTTGCGGTGGAACAATGATGACAATATCAATCCAGAACCGCAAATCGAACACATTTCGTAGCTTGGACTTTAAGGTCTTTGTCGATTGTTTTCTATAACTCTCGATATTGCATATGTCAATTGATTCATTGTTTGTCCATGACTACATGTACTTTCTAGGATGACGTACTGCTGAGCTAACACTTACTCACACAGTCCTGGAGATTCTTCCTAGTTGCACTACTCAGGGAGTGTAACAAGATTTACCAGCATGATTCGGGACTAAATACGCTGTCGGTTCCATCATCCAAAACGCATTTCCGAATATATTGTATGTCTCATGAGCACACCTATTCATTCTTTTTTCTTTCCACGACACGTCTTGCCAGTTTTAGCTTCCATATTCATCAGTATGGCAGCCAGGAACCCAAAGAATACTTCGGTTCCTGTTGACCTTTTTATCGCCACGCGTCCAAACAATGCTGACCTAATCCCTGGCTTGCTGGAGGAGGTTACCAAGGGTGTTAAGAGTCTAGCTACTGGAACTGAGGAGGACCGCAAGGATTTGTTAATCAAGTGTCGAGCTTTAGCTAGAGCTATAGAGACACCTCGGGAGACGATGGTTGACCACTGTTGGGGACAGGTATATGCTCTGTAGTCCCATTAACTGAACGGAATGACTGATCAGATAGATGGGTGCAATCGGGGCTATAGGGTTTGGCGTGGACTCGGGATTATGGGTGTTGATGGCTCGGAATGGCGACCAACCCCAGAATGTTACCGATTTGGCCGCGAGCCTTGGGGTCGACCCCCAACTTCTCAGTGGGATTCACATAACCCATTCCAAAGCCCTAGCTAACTGTTTTCTAGGTCGTTTGATGCGGCATGTGAGTGCTATGGGACTTCTCATGGAAGTTAGGGAAGATGAGTACCAGCCCACAAACTATACCAAGGCGCTGAGCCTTCCTCAGATTGGGCATGGGTATCTCGGTCTGTAAGTACTCATTCGACCGTAAGTCAAACCCGTAAGGTAACAGAGACACTGATACCTCTTGCTATTCAGTACCACGTCCACTGGTGCAGGCACCTTGAAATTCCACGAGTTTTCCCGTAAACGGGGTTGGGTGAATCCGACAGATCCCTGGGATACATCTCTAATGTATGCATATGGTACCGACAAGAACATATTTCCTTGGGTGCGGGATTTAGGTTATGGAGATCACCTGAATGATTACCTTGGTGGTTACAACCTGGGTCGCCCACTCTGGATGGACCCTAGTGTCTATCCTGTGGAGGAGAGGCTTATTGACGGTGCCGATTCTAGCCCAGATGCACCATTCCTGGTGGACATAGGCGGCAACATGGGCCATGACCTGGAGAGATTCCAGAGTCGCTATCCGAACGCCCCCGGAAATTTGATCCTTCAAGATTTACCTATGATGCTTGACCAGATCAAGGATCTAGATCCGGCTATCATTCGAATGGGTTATGACTTCCATGATGAACAACCCGTCAAAGGTCTGAGCGCAGAGCCCTTTCCCGTTCCAACCCAGTCTATATTAATTTCGAAATGGTGTTACTAATACTATCCCCAGGTGCCCGTGCCTATTATATACATTCAACCCTACATAACTGGTCGGATGATGTGTGTGAAATAGTACTTACGCGAGTGAAAGAGGCTATGAAGCCTGGGTACAGCAGACTATTGCTCAATGAGAACGTTATGCCGAACATCGGTGCACATTGGGAGACTACGGGGCTCGATATGATCATGTTAACCCTATTCTCTGCTGAAGAGCGGACTAGCGCAGCGTGGTATGACTTGATTGAGAGGAGGGCGGGTTTGAAGGTTGTCAAAGTGTGGGACGGTGGAAAGGGGGTAGAAAGTGTGATTGAGTGTACGCTGGTCTAAACTTCAAAGTCAATGAGTGTGATTCAGATGTAGTCTCAGAATACCTCTATCACCTGGTTATTTCCCGTAGTCGACGACTCTCTTTCAATTTGTCACTGCTTCCTTTTTACTGCATTACTTACAATTTACGAAATGGTCGGACAAATAATTAGGCGATCACAGTGTAGAGGAATGTACAAGCAGAGGTACAATGTTGGACTGTTCAGGCATGAAATTAAAAAAGGTGAAATTACAAACAAGATAAAATTGGGTATCGTCCGCAAACTCCCGCTGCCATGCGCGTAATTCATGAAGGGGCGTCAATTTAGAATCGACGCCGAAGTTAGCGAACAGTTAAATCTGGTGGCATTGTTAGCATAAGAACATACAGTCAAAATGTATATAAACTCACCAAAGCAAGAGGGAAACGGCAAGGAACACGGCCATTGTGCAACAGCATAGCTTTGGCCTTTTGGGGAGTAGCCTGCAGCTTGCGATAGGCCTCACGAACGTGTCGTGGCTCAATGGGAGTGCGCCCCTCCTCGGGTGGGTCGAACAGGCCAGTCTCGCGCTTCCGCTTTTTCATGTTCTCACCGGCTTCGGCACCTCCGCGACGGTGCTTCTCGTTGTCTTCGCGCTCCTTGACTTTGAGTGCCTCCTCCGTCAGAGTCTGGACGATCTCGAAGGTAAGGAATCCGAGGATGTCAACAATGTCATCGTTTGGCTTGGATTCGGTCACGATGCCGAAGCCTGCCCACTCGCGGAATCGCTTGCTCTTGCGGTAGGTGAAGGAAGCCTGACGACACTCGGACCAGAATACATACTCCTCCCGTGTCATGTGGCGGGTGCGTTCATCGGCGGCGGCAAGACGCTGGAGGGTTGCGTAGTTCTGCTCCTCTTCTTCTTCATCCTCTTCATCTTCACGCTCGGGGACCTGGACGGAGTAGAAACTGTTGACATCCCACGCAAGTCCGACCTTGGCGCGCTTGTTCTTGGGCTTGGGGGCCACGTCTGCGGGGCCTGCAACAACACCAGCTGCATCGTCAGCGGCAGCAAAGTCGGCGGCGTCACCACCACCCTTGTCGTCGGAATCCTTGACATTCTTGCGGACATCCTTCCAGGACAGGAAGGTTCGCAGACGGGATACCTTAGCCTTATCGTGGCGAATCAGGAAAATTAGGTCGTCAGTAGAGATCGAGCGAACTCCACGGCGGGTTGCCAATGCGGTGCTGCGGGTAAGCTAGTTGATCGTTAGTGACGAGAGCTTTCAAGGCAGAATTACTAGTACCCACAATTTCTATCACTTGTTGTCGGGTAATCTCTTCAATCAAAGTGGTAGTCTCAGGGGACGGCTCTGCTGTCTCTCCGGAGACAAACATCATCTTAAGAATGTCGTTAGTAAAGGAGCATCCAAATATGTCTTCTTTCTCCATCTCATGATCTTTCTGGCTCCCGGCATGGGGTTGGGAGCTGATTGCGGCACTGTCCATCTGGCAAGTGAACGAGTTGAAGATATGGGTGTAATGCTCATGACAGTACCGTCCCATGACGAAGAAGTCTGACACGGGGTCTACCGATAGACCATCTTGATTTGCAAACAGAGACGTCTTCAACAGAATGAACGGAAATATCGTCAGGTGAATCCAAGCCCGAGTTTGAAACTATACAAGGAGCATTCACGGGAGAGGTAATGATACAATCATCCAAGGACATATAAGGATCAGTCAAGGTCCCATCAGGATCCCTTAGCATAGATTCTTCCTGGCTTCGTGCAAAATTCATCCCGAAGCTCCATCCAGAGCTCAACGATTGATCTGGCGTTCACGTTGGGAAAAGACATGAATGATGAATGAGCACACAGAGAAAGTGTTCAATATAGCGGATGGATCGAATGTCAAGGGATGCGTGAGAGCGCTTGTAGATGGGTTTGACAAAGGCATTGACAAGAGAAGACGATCGAAAAGGAAGCAAGGCAGTAAATGATATGCGAAGGCTGACAGTTGGCGAGAGGAGGTGAAGGTGAAGAACAAGTGATATAAGTGAGATATCAAAACACCTCGGCAAAACGATAGGCTAAGTGGCAGCCCTCACAAAGTCGATATCGATAAGAAGCTCACTCCTGATTCCCGCAAATATCAGAGAAGAGAAGGGAGGACCGTCTTGCCAATTGCTCCTAACCTTAGGAACTTCGACATCGTCCTCGTTCTTCAAAACAGTATCCCTCACTGATCTAACGCCAAAGCTGAGACATTGGCAGGACAAAATTGCAGAGAGGATCCAGGCATTTTGAGTATTGTCGTATTTTTTCCCCTTGACGTCAAGATGTGTGTGCATCCTAACAACCAAAGAATGCAGCCCGGGTGGACCATGACACGACATTAACATAGTTGTTTGTGCCCAATACGGACATTCGTTATGAAAAATCGAAGATGACAAGAATGACATAGCGTTACTCCAGCAAATGAGTACATTCGAAAGCAAATGATGTGTCGCAAGCCCAGCCAGGCCGTCCGTGGATATCATGCTTCATACCCTGAAAGGTAGTTTCAAGCTTCCTAGGATTACTTCCTCCCGTAGGACGAGGGAAGTGGAGGGGGTTGTGGCCCTATCCACCGAGACAATGTGTTTGCGCCGCGCAATATGTTGTGTCGCAAAGCCCGCCGACAAGTTCGCAAAGCCCGCCGACAAGTCGCAATATGTTCAGAGACCTTCGGAGGCCTGATCGGACGATAAAATTGAACATCCAAGAGCCAGAAAGATCAAGAGACCAAGAACCTCAAGCAAAATGAACCAGAGATCAGAGAGGAACTCACCTGTTGTATCTCCTGCCGATACTTCGGATTCCGATCGGAGCTCATGATAGATGGCGGTAACCCTACCAGGGGGAACGTCTTTAACGATCGGGATGAGGCTTCCACTGGTATTCACCCGGTGGGACTAAGCCGTGTTGAATTGATTCGGGGCAAAGTGAGAGAAGATGGCGCAAGGAGGATGAAGCTCTGGTCGTTCGAAGCACAGGCCGATCTGGGGGAGATAAGCGATAGCCGGATACTTTTTGATCCGGCGGTGGCGGAGTATTCTGCCGGTATCGCGGGGCACGCAGTTCTTTTTTTCGAACTGTTTGTTGGGCCGTGAGATTCATTGTATTTTACTCAATTACATAACCTGAGTTCCTACAGCCAATATGCTCCACCTAGTTGGACTTGGTCTCGCTGATGAGACGGATATCACCGTCCGCGGTCTGGAGATCGTGAAGCGGGCCGAGAGAGTCTATCTAGAGGCATACACGAGTATTCTTCTTGTCGATAAGGAAAAACTGGTGAGTTGGGTTCGAAGTTATTATTACCAATCCCATATCTCAATTGAATATTGCATATGTTTTGCGCAGATGGACTGATTGAACATAATACCAGTAGGAAGCGTTCTATGGCCGCCCCGTCATTGAAGCAGACCGTGAACTAGTCGAGACCGGCAGCGATGATATCCTCGCCGGCGGCGACAAAGCTGATATTGTATTCCTAGTAGTGGGAGATCCATTCGGGTACGATCTTCGTCCAGTTTCCCTATAAAATCCATAGTTAACACCATACCACCAACAGCGCAACAACGCATACCGACCTTGTCCTCCGCGCGCGCGAACTTGGCATCGAGACCAAAGTCGTCCCTAACGCCTCCATCATGTCCGGAATCGGCTGCACCGGACTGCAGCTGTACAACTTTGGACAAACAGTCAGCATGGTTTTCTTCACTGAGACCTGGAAGCCGTCTTCGTACTACGACCGTGTGCGCGAGAACGTTCAGACCGGCCTACACACACTAGTCCTGCTCGATATTAAGGTCAAGGAGCAATCGCTGGAGAACATGGCGCGCGGACGTCGCATTTTCGAGCCCCCGCGTTACATGACTGTTGCGCAGTGTGCGGCACAGATGCTTGAGACTGAGGAGGAGCGACAGGAGGGTGTCTATGGGCCGGATAGCTTGGCTGTTGGTGCGGCGCGTGTTGGCGCTGCTAACCAGCAGCTTGTTTCTGGTACGCTCAAGGAATTGGCTACTGTTGAGATGGGCGCGCCGTTGCACAGTCTTGTTCTTCTTGGCCGGAGGACACATGATCTTGAGAGGGACTATATTCGCGAATATGCGGTCAATAAGGAGACTTTCGATGCGAGCTATGTCAAGGGATATGGGGCTAGCTTGTGAGAGTTGAATTTTTGCGAAGAGATATGATTTCAAGATTAAAATACATGATAAGTTTTTCTTAAAATTGAGGACTGATTCAATTGCTCTAATGCACCAAAGTTGTTGGAATGATCAAGTTTGGAAAGATGGTACATGGTATATTGGCCGTTACTCAATTTGATCTGAGGATTAACTGACCAGAGCGGAGTGTCTGGATTCTATTCTAACATACATAGGAAGACAAAACGAAAATGCTGTGATATAGCGAAAGATGTAAAGCAAATGGTATCCGAGAAACAGAAACGGGAATATGTATGAAAAAGAACCTTTAACCAACCGACACCTTATGATATGCAAAATGTTGAACCAATGTACAACTCGACTCTTCAAAAAAGATACGCTCATGTCGCATCACATCAAATCTCTTCCTCCTCGCCAGGAAGAATAATCTCATGTCCAGAACCTTCATATACGAAGATAGCTGCAAGGCAGCCAAATACGGATACCAATGCAATCATCCACCAGGCGAAGCCGACCATTCCAACGTCCAAGCCATATCCGTACCACGCACCTGAGAAGATAGGCCCAATGGTACGGAAGGCTGACGACACGGACTGGCCAATTCCGTGAATTGTGCCAAGGACTGATGGGTGCGGCGAGCAGTTGTTCAACAGAATGATGGAGGTGGGAAGCGTGAAAGTTCGGGCAGTGACCTGGAAGAAGAGGACAATGATGATCCAGAACCAGACCCAGGGGCCGTTGGCTTGACCAGGAGGGGGAATTGTAGATGGAGCCAGCGAGATATAGGGGGCAATGAAATATGCGATGGGGAAAAGAGAGAGGAAATACTGGTAGCTCTTGGCTGTTCCCAGGCGGCCGTTGATGGTAGGGTAGACGGTGAATTGGAGGACCATGCCAATCACACCCAAAATTGCAGTCGCGAATCCAACGCTTTGCGGCAGCATGCCCAGTCCGCCGGTGAAGGCGAATGGCAAGCTCTGGGCGGGACTCGCGGGGTCATTGTCGTCATAGCGAGGAGTAGACAGGAAGAGTAGCCAGAGGTTGTTGAAGGCACCCATTTGGAAGTCGAAGAAAGCCTGTGCGCCGAGTGTGCACAACACGTTCTTGGTCCAGATTCTTCGGAAAGGCAACACACGTTGGAGGCGGACAGGCTTGTGCGCCTTTTCTTCGAGCTCGTAGCTCTCGGAGCGGTCCATGGGTTGGCCCAGCAAAGGACCACCCTCTTCGTAGTCGCGGAGCGGGAGCCTTGTATACAAGGACGACGAAGAGGGGACTACCGTCCTCACGGCGCGCGTAAGGAGCTTCTTAGCGAATGCGCCCAGGCCAGGCTTGCCCTTGCAAGATGCCAAGGTCTCTTCTAGTCCATACGCAACCAGAATTGCCGTCGAAGAGAGGAAACAGAAGTTTGCAAACATTGGCAGCGCATAGGGGTACGTCTCGAGCCATTGCACTCCGTTCGCACCTCCGAAGGAAGAATTGGGACCAAAGAGACGGGGATAGCTCTTAACGGGATCAGCCAACATGCCACCCATCACTGCAAACGTGGTTAGCGGATTGTCGCATAGTCGTGAACAGCATTGACAGAGCAAGGTACTCACCAGGACCAAACAACGAAGCTATGTTGAAGCCAATAGGCAAAATCAAGAAAGCGCGCGAGTGATATTTCTTCTCTTTAACATTTTCCGCGATCATAGTTCGAATAATACCAACAGTGCCGTTGATTCCGCCACCAAACGAGCGCCAAAACACGGCCTGCGTGAACGACGTCGAATAGGCGACACCCAAACAAGACACCGCAGTGCCAATCAAACCAACAAGTAGAACAAACTTCCGGCCACCCCACTCAGCATCGGCAACACGGCCCCAGGGGATCGCCGTCGCAAACTGGGCAGCAGTAAAAGCACCCTGGAGAATTCCCGCCTGGGTCGCAACATCCGAGTCGGAGAGGTTGGGGTCGAAAGACTTGAGCTGGTAAAACATATATGCCTGTAGGGAAGCGATCTGCAAGAAGTCAAAGACACGGCAGAGGCCCAGCAGCGCCAATTGACCCTTCCGCGGCAGCGACATCCACGTTACGAGCGCGGGGCGAGCTGGCGCCCGCACAGGCGGGATCTCATGTTCCTGCAGGGCCGGTACTTGTGACAGGCCATGGCTAATGGAGCGGCCGCGCACATGCTGTGTTTTGCGGTCACCACCTAGATCCATCGAGGTATTCCTTAACATGTTATCATCGATGGCGAGTGAGTCGGGGGAGGAGGAGCGTTCTTCAAGGCTGGCGAGGGAGGTATTGGACTCGCGTCGGCGGCGACCTTTGGCGTTTTCGGATGATTCGGTGCCTTGGGTGAAATGGAAGCCACTCGACCAGGACGTCGTACGCGCGTGGCGGGCATTATTCGTTTTATGGTTTCCAGTCCTGGCAGGCATTGAGGAATGTACTAGTGTAAACCGAGGCACCGTAAGGATCCAAGAGTGGTTGGCCCCTGTGGTTTCATGTATTTTTCGTAGTTCGGGTAATTATTATTATTGACCTTAAGAATAGGAAGAAGAGAAAGAGTTATTTTTTGTATTTATTTATTTTTATTTCACCTCAATTTCTTGCGTTTGTACCGTCTCCAGGGGATTTTGGTGATGACGTCCTTTCTCGGTACTTTGATTTTTTGAGGCCCACCAGAGCCCGGGGAATGCGGATTATTGCTTTGGATACAACCAATATCGCTTTTTATTTGATATTCAATATAAAGAACGTAGCAATATACTGATAGTATAGTATTCATTTACTTACATTAAAATTCCTTAAAATAAGTCAACATCCCATAGGATACATACAACATACACTATCTTTGATACATAGATCGACAACGATACCTGGCTTGCGACGACCGCTCCACACCTCCCTGCCGAGCCCTCCTCCCTTGGGCCATGACTCGCCAACTCATTACATACGTTTTAGCGACCACAATCTTGGCATATAAGGTGCCGACTGTGGTGGAGAAGTGATTTCAGCTTCACTTACAGTACTTTACGGGCCCAATTTTATCTGATCCAGATAGATATGCATTTTTAGATGTGTACTTTATGAAACGTATGTGCTTCATAATTGTCCAAGTGGGGTCGGGGGGTATTATCCATTTTAAGCCTGAACACGTTAAATGTGATACAAAAATCCATTTATTCTAAAAGGATTTTAAATTAATCTTAGTATCCAAAGTTCTAGAGCCCTAGCGCCGACGGTTCAAGCGTTTCAGCCACATTCCACATCACTGCAAAAAGCCGCTTCGATACATACACCACGTACATACATAGTAGAAGACAGTGCCACAGCCCATTGCAAGGCTAGCCTACTCAGCTTTACAAGGCAATGCTAGGGCTTGATAACAAGTCGCATGATCAAGGTCATAAAACATCCGAAGTGGGCATGGTCCATGGCCTTTTGCATGCTTTTGATCGACATAGAGATAGGCACTTGTAATTTACACGCGGAGTACTGTGTATGTAAATATCAACTGCTGTATACATGTATGTACATGTATCGTATCCGTGTTATATCCGTACTATCCAAAACTGATATAAAACTGAATGTCGTAATTATTCCTCTACAAAGCAATCAATACGAAAGATAAATGCTCAGCACAAAGTATCGAACAGCTCCGCCTCGCTCCAGAGGTACGTGTACCCAGTGCGTAGTAATTTCTCCCAGGTGGGAGGACCTGTGAAATTGACGCCGAAAATCACCGGTTTGGGAGCCAAAAACAGTCGACTGCCTTTCCACCCCGTAACTTTACGTGGACGACTCGCCGGTTTGGCGGAGGCCGCCTCTTCATGCGTCAGCTTCAATGCGGTCCATGAGCATGGCCAAGGTGAACGCATGGTCCTGCGGAAGCTTGGCTTCCTCGATCCAGATGCATGCACAGTCCAGTTCCGCCGGTGACAGGTTCAGCGGCACCATTCGCCTCAGCTCTAGCCGGAGGGGCAGGCTCAGCATCGTGGCCAGTGAGCTGCCACGCCGCTCGGTGATTCCGTCCTACCATCGGTATAGCTTCTGTACCTCCGTATACTGTTTGAACTGATGATATGTAATGCTCACAATTCATTCAATCATTTCTCTCGGCCATCTTACTAAAGAAAGGACTCGACACATAAAACGGCCGTTCTACAGGCGTTTCGTCAATATCACTCTCTCCGCCCCCCTTAGAGCTCAAAAGCGACTGCATTCGTGCCCGAAAGACCTCATTCTGAGCCAACTTCCCAACAGGCTGCACTGTATCCCGTTCTCTATTCACAAATTTTGCATCAGGCTCCCCTTCATACGTCGACTCCGGCCCATCTATCCATGTCTTCCCTGCCCGAAGACACTCATTCTTCATTTCCTCCGAACTCCTATTAATCATATTCTTCCAGAATAGCCCTTCCCCAGAAGAAACAATACCAGCGTGCTCAAGCATTCCAACAGCACCAGCAACCCAGTCTTGGCAATTTCCAACCCCGAACTCGGGGATGTTAGATTCATCGCTCCCAAATGCGGAGAGCAGGCTAGCAGCTTGTTCGCTCTGCTCAGATAAGAGAGAAGCAAGCTCGCAACGACCTTTAAGAACCGGGTCTTCGAGCGGCTGTGGCCGCGGATCGTAGACGAAATCTTCGTCTGTGGGGTTGCGTATATGGTGCATTTCGCAGGTTGAGGAGCCAGATTTGTAGACGGCGATTCCCATGTGGGAGGGGCCGTCGCCAAGTTTGGCATCGCCGCGGCCATAGATGTTTATTGAGAGGCCGTGAGTGGGAGATTCCATAGTTAGCGCTAGGAGAGTAAAGTGACTACATATCTAGATTGCTAGTGGTCATGTGGTTATTATTATCTCGGCGCGTCCACGCCGATTTGTTCTGCCAGAGGAAAGCAAAAGCGGTGGGGTATCCGTCCGCCTGCTGCAGGGAGGCTCTGGGGCGTTACGAAAAAGCATACCATCCCCGGTCTACTGTTATTGACTGTTCCATCAAGTAGAGATTTAATATATTCTCTAGGAACATTCGATTTATCACTGTTGTCTATCCTTGCCATTCTCCCGCCGATAAGGTTCAAGGTTCACCACAGGTTCTAGCTAAAGCTTGCACCTAAATACAGATCCCTAGAGGCTGCATTGTAGCTGTAAGGCTGCATTGTAGCTGTAAGTACATGGAGTTCCATATGACACACGTATATAAATATTGACAGAACATCTGACTCTAACAACTTGAGAGATAATAACCACAGAAACAACAAACGAAATATTACACGAGCAGAATGACAAAACAAAAAAAGCAGCAGCAGCAAGCAACAATAATAACGATAACTATGAGAGTTCAAAATGAGATCCCTTAGGGTGATTACCGCCTGGATTTACTGCCCCCACTGAGACCCGCAAATTTGTTTAAATTGAGGCGACCAACCGGCTGTCGCACTTGCTCCTTTCCAAATGTCGCATCAGCAGGCCCCTGTCCACTAGAGTCGACAGTGGTTTTCGGAACCCAAGACCTGCCATCTCGCTGGAGTCGATCGCCAATGGCCGGAGAAGCTTTTCCGACATTGGCGTTCCAATAGTCTCTGGTGCCCTGAGGCGCCAATCTCTCTCGTTCGAGTGCACCAAGTGCACCAACAGTCCAATCCTGACAGTTTGCATCTCCACGAGGAAGGTTGGATTTGTCTTTTCCATACGCATTCAAGAGCTGTGCCGCAGTCTCCTTGCGCCTACTCGAGAGAAGCTTGATTTCACTTCGACCGTGGCTGGTGGTTGATTCAATTGGACGTCTAGGTGCTGGATCTTCGTAGTAGAAGTCGTCGTCCTTGCGAACATGGTAGAGATGACCGTCCTTCTCCTCTCGCTTGTGGAGAATAGCTCCCCAGTGGGCCGGGGGATCTCCCTGGCGGGTATCTCCCCGTCCATAAATATTGACACTTAGTGCATAGTCCTTTTCGCTGCCAGAGCTATTGGAGCGGGAGGTGTGCCTCGAGGAAGAACGGGAACCACGTTCCATGGTGCCAACAAAGAAAGCTCGCTGAGGATTGTTAAAAAGATTGTATACACTGGTGATTTGCGACAAACAATGGGACAATAATAAGAGAACAGTCGACGAATATAATGATTGATATACTTGGCCGGGAATTGTCCATTATTTATGGTATCCTGAGGAGAAACCGGGGAGTGACATTGTGGTCATGAAACAAGCCGCTGGTCAAACTGCCTGCCAGGCAAGCGCTGAGACTCTTGGGGAATATCAAAATAGAAGCATAGTGTTTCATACAATCCTCGAATTTCGGATATCGAGTGGCTCTCGGGGAATGGCCGCACGTTAGGCAGACTAGAACCTGATACACTCATGGCGGCTAAAAGATCTATATCCATGCGAGCAATCGGCGATAGTAGACAACTTCAAGTTATTGGTGGTTTGGTGATAAAAGCCTCACGGGGTGCCCCGGCGCGTATTGAGGTGCTAGGTAGACGTCAAATGGATCATTTATAGTTAATAGAAATCTAAATATAAATAGATACCCTCATACACTAGTTCCATGTAGCAGGGTAGGAACCAATCACATCCATCCTGGCCCCGGGGATGGATGGATCTAGCTAAAATACTAACTGACTAAGCCCCACCTGGGCACTGGGCGGCTCAAAGCGAGAGAAGACCATAAGACCACCCGACAACCTCGAGATACGGATCGCTACCTCACTTTCTCCCACATTCAAGAATATAGTAATCATTCGATTTCAATACGGTATTTGAGCCTTTCCTAAATCTACAATCGAAATTTCGGATCCCAGTTTAACTGACAGTGTTTCGTCCTTCTTAGCGTGTCTTTCGACAATGTCTGTTTCATTAGAGAAATCAAGTTCTCTAGCTAATCGTTTTCGGGATGCTCTTCCTTCCATTTTGAAAAATTCCCGCCATACTGAGATTTGGGGTGTTGATTTGAAGCACGCCGAGGGACAGGTCCTAGAGGTTATTTTGGAAAAGGTGCTTGGACCACAGGTATACACCAAGATCCATCACTAAATTATCAATAGTTCCTCAAAAGTCATTCCGCAATCCCCGCACTTCAAGTCTCCAGGGCAATTGCCTCACTTGAGAAAACTTTGGAATGGCGACGCTTCTCTGACCCGAAGGCTCTGTTTACTGAAACAGAGTCGATCCTTCCAGAGATGGACCTGTGCCATATTACTTCAAATAAGGGTCAATATGTGCTGTGGGTTAGCATTGACGAGATGACAATCAAGGGATCTTCGCCAATACATCAAAGCTTAGATACTTCTAAGGGGTTGGTGGACTTAGGTCTTGCTGTAATGGAAAGGCTCTCCGTGCTTCTGATGGATGCAGCCGCTAGTTCTGATCTACAAGGATATTCGGCTTCCTGTGTGGTTGAATTCAAGTCACGTGCTACTCAAAATATCAAGAAAGGACAGCAGTCTTCCCAGAGAAAGCTCCGCAATGCCCTTGAGGAATTGGCGACACTTATTCGGTATCACTATCCTAATATTCTGGGAAAGGCATACATCATTAATCCTCGTGATGAATACCTCGCATCTCTTGACATCGATGAAGCTCTCTTGAGAGATACGGTACTGTTGGAGAATCCTGAGGACCTTAATCGATATCTTGGCTCGAAAATTCCACCTCGATATGGGGGTACTGGGGAACCGCTTGAGAAATGCGATTATCTCCACAATGGCTGCCTTGCCAGGGATTCACAAGGGAACACCGATCTAGAGACGCCAGAGATCAGTGCAGCAACAACTACTGACACAGAAACGACCGAGATGAAAAAAGAAACCACAGCTTCCGCTGTAGATAGCGACTGCGCCTGTCCTGAAGGCTTGGAACCAGAGGAGCAAAAGCCTCGCTTGATTTACTCGGAAATAATTGGGCCTCCATCTATCATACTCGACCCTGGCGACTTGCAGACAGCAGACAGTCTTTGTCCTGACAAAATGGGCGCCCGTGTTGTTTTCGCAGATTCAGAGACGGTTGCGAAATTCGGCCATGGTGTTCGTTTAGCCGAAGCCGAGGCCTTACACTTGGCATCTACCCGTACCACTATAGCGACACCAAGGCTCCTCAGTGCATATATCCTTGACGGAGTTGGATACATCGTAATGTCATATGAACGGGGCGAGTCACTCGCACAGTACTGGGACCGTGTTTCGGAGACCGAGCAAAATCGCATACTGGAGCAGTTAGGGGACTACGTGAACCAAATGCGGGAGATTCCAGGGGATTTTATCGGTGGACTTGACAGATCCCCTTGTCGAGACGGCATCTTCGAGGCTGGCTATGGCGACTACACTAGCTACAGCTACGGACCGTACCCAACTGAGGAAAGCTTTAACGAAGGAATCATTCAAGCTTTGAGAGATCGAATGCGCCCGAAAGTGCTCGAACGTGAAAATGACATCGAATCGAACTTTTTCAACAGCGAGTACATGCTGTATCAGACAGTTCGGGGTCTCAAAAACCACAAGATCATTTTTACACACGGGGATTTACATCCAGGGAATATCATTATTCGGACCGATGGCACTGTTGTTCTGTTGGACTGGGGCTTAGCTGGATTTTGGCCGGAGTATTGGGAGTTCTACCGTGCCCTGTTTAATCCACCCTGGAGAGCCTCGTGGGATCGCATGGTGGAGAAGTTTATTCCGCCTTTTTATGTTGAGCATAGCGTGATCAAAAGGGTATTCGGGACTGTGTGGAACTAATAAAGGGAATACAATATGAATACAATACTCCGTACAGAAACATGATCAAAATAATAATGTCAGATTTCTCAGCCTTTGAATGGGATTTTCGTAATTCTGTGGGAAGACTTGACTTGGCTTTTTAACTGGTCGATTATTGAGAGTAACATACTGTTGTTTTTGTTGTTTAGAGAACTGGAGAGTTATGGGTGATGAGGAAGCAAAGAACTATGATATATAGTAACTTGGGGCTTAACAATTACACGAGACGCTCAGGAAATAGATAGTACGTATATTCGGCAGCCGGTGTGGTCTAGTCTATTTGAAAGGCAATTGAACCAGCTCAGGCTTGAAAATCATGTCGCGTAGATAATCACTGCTATCTGTTGTTCGTCTCATTCGTTGGCAGCCTTGAATCTAATATGGCATACATACATGATGCAACTAGACATATTTTCCTATTTGAGTAGCGGATACGAAATATAATGCATACATGTAGCAATGCGTATATGAGTTCTGTGTTATGGTAGTATGTATGTACAGCGCTGAGTACCTAACGTTACAGATGCAAAGATGAACAAAAATTAAAGAGTAAAGAATGAGGAGCCACTATTCGTTCCGCTCTCGTTCACGCCTGTGGCCGTGTAGACTCCGCTCACCGAGCGGGAAATAGAAAGTTGCTTCGCCCTCTCCGATCCACCGGTGCCAATTCCACCAGGGTAGATCAGTGGTCTGCACGAGATGATGTTTCCGCTCAGCCATACCGTTCATAGTTCCAGAGGACTCCTGATCCCGCAGTCGGCTGAACGAATACCTGGCGTAGTATCGATGTGCGAGGAAGACTCCGCCGAAGAGGGGGATCGCCACGAGGAGAACGGTACCCCAGGCAAGTAGAACTATAAAATTGTCAGTTCTGCTTCTTTTACTTGGTGGAATAAAAGTCCTGTTCGGGTTATACTCACGGCCATAGTTCCACCCGTCCGAGTACTTTGGAGCATTAGAAGGTTGCGGGTAGCCCGAGGGGTGTGTCCAGATATTGGAGCCCGGGTTGTTGGGGTCAATCCACGGCACAGTATTAACACCTACTGGCGGAATTAAAGGACGGGCTGCCTCTTCGCCAGGGAACCCATATCCCGGTGCGTCCAAGCAGGTAGAGTCGGCACAGAATTCGCGCAGCTCGGACGAGGGCACGAAGGTATACTTGATCTCAGACTTTCCCAGCACAATGCCCTCACGATCCACTGCCTCGGCCTTAGACCAAAGGAAGAATCTGGAGCCGGTGTATTCAGTCTCAAAACCGGTTTTGGAAACCTCGTCCAGCAAGGTCCAAGGTCCGGTCATGTTCATCGATCCCCAAAATCGCCACGTTTTGACGCGGGTTGCGCCGTTCCAACTGACATAGAAGCTGGTGGAAGAGGATGGTTCCGCGGTTTTGGAGTATGTCCATAGGGCAGGTGAGTCTGTTGGTACACCATCCCATTCAAATTTCATTGCTCGATAGTTCATCACGGTGTCTTTGGCGAAAGAGCCCCAGAATAGCAGATTACCTGCCTCGTCGTGCTCGGATACGAACGGGTTATTTCCCCATCCGATGAAGGCATTTTTGTTAGGGAGCATCTGCAGGTTTCCCTGGCTGGAGCTCACCAGGTCGTCTTTAATGGGGGCGTAATCGCGGAGCTGTATGGCCGTTTGTTCCACGTGGTCAATCATGATGATCATGCCCGCTGAATATGTGTGGGTCTTGTTGAAGCCGTTATAGCCATTGTTGTAAAGTGAGAGAATGGTATGTGTAGCATTCTCATGTAACCACCGAGCGTCGTGCTGCTGCGAAAAGCTAAAATTGATATTTCGGAAAGAGGGCTGCGCGCCGTGAAGCCGCCACAACACCGAGCCATCCTTACCGGAGATCTTATAGATGGCAGAAGTATGCCGTGACGAAATCAGATAGTCACCGGCAGCATTCTTGTCGACGGAGTTGATGTGAAAGTAATCCCAAGGTTCATGCACGTTCAATCCTGTTCCAGAAGTATCCGTATGGGATGGCCATGTATAGCTCGACGACGGATCGATATGATCCAGAGACCGCCATTCAAACAGGACCTTGTTGGTCTCCACATCGATCTCCTGGAATACACTTTCCATAAGCCATCCTACACCAGTTTTGATGTTCCATGGTGTCATGTCGAATTGCCGTTGCTGGTAGATGGTCATAAGAGCGGTTTTGCCATCGTTGATGGGACGGAATTCGTGCATGTCGCTCGAGGCCATTCCTCCACCCGGCTGAACCGATCGCATAACTCGGTAGTTTTTATCCATGATGATACCATGGCCACGGCAGTATCCTTTTTGCTGGCTGCCCTGGAAGAAACATAGGTGATCGGCGCCGTTATACTTGCACACGTGGAGGCCATGGGCATTGCCCGGGCCCGAAACACCCCAGCCACTCCATACTAATTCCTATTGATCATATGGTGAGTTAGCTTTTCTATGCTCGTCGGATCTCAACCTCGCAAAATAATGACCTACCCCTGTGTTATCGTAAATGTACGGGCCGGGATTCTGGAGTTCGTATGGTGTGATGAAGATGTAGCCCGGGCTGAGCTTGTCTGGATCGGACTGTTCGACATTGAAGACGGGCGGGTATATGTCGGGTCTCTGTTGTGCAGATAATAATTTCAGTCCAAAAGCACACTTGAGGGGATCAGATTAATTTCACTTACCGATTTATAAAAAGAGGTTTCCTCTCCAAGCGCACTATCAATCGCGCATAACCAGAGGATACCAAGAAAGTAGAGCGCCGGCGCAGTCCTCAAAGAGGACAGTATGGAGGCACCCATAGGTTCTACGCACCACTTCCGGATGCACGATACAAAAAGGTAGGGCCAACAAAAGAAATTACCCAGCAGAATGTGTGCAAGGGAGGTTGTATTGAAGGCAAATCATGAAGAAGTATAGAAAACTCCAGGCCAAGAAGGATACTCATGAAGGTCAAAGGGCCGAGAGATCCAAGGCGAACAAGCAGTGTGTACGAGTCCCTCTCCACCTGTCAATGCAATGCTTTTTGCATTTACAGTGGGGCATACATTATGTTGATCCTCTATGTTCATTGGTCAAAATCCATTTAAAGATAGACACAGTGCTTAGTAAGGGCAATTCGACCAACACCTGTCCAGCGCCAAGATGCCCAGTCCTGCTAAAAACTGTTTCAGTTGCTTAAGTTGCGGGGGGGATATTCGGGAATTTGATATTATACGAGTAAAATCACGGTAAATCGATCACCATTCCCCCTGAAGAACAGAATTCCCCCCCCCCCCCCCAAAAAAAGATTTCGATCGTCTAACTATTGCTGCGGAAAACCTTGATTGCTGTTTTCTTCTTTCCTCCCAATACGTGTAATTCAGATAAGTGACGGTACGGGTATTTCTCACCGGCCGCGTCATGCCCACAAGACTAAGGTGATGTGGCTGCCGCTAACTAGCCCGATACTATAATTCCGAGATCGTACTCGCACTTTTTTCGTATGTTCAACCTCAATTCACGCTGAAGGTTCGGGAAGAGCCCGACACTTCAACCATGTAACGTGGCTCGGGAATGGGACCATGGATGAACACCCAGTTACCCGCTAGCCAAACTCAGACAGCTGAATCGCGCAGGTGGTTTATCCCGAGGTTCTGTTGGGGAGGTGTAACCAATGGATCGGACTTCCAAGGTTCCAGACACTCCGATAAAGCTCAAAGCTAAAAGCCACGTGCATGTGGCTGAAAAGAAGCATTAGTCGTCGTGTACGCCAATTGAAAGAGGGGGACTGGTTCTGGAATAGCGGTGGCGCATATTGCGTCGTCAGAGCCTACGCGGGCTATCTGTGTTGTAGGATCTATTCTATCACATGTGCATTAGATTTAAGGCTACCACAGATACCATACGTTGATTACTCGTTGATCTTTTTTTATGCAATGTTTTGAGCGAATGGGACTTACACATGTGAGATTCTCCAAGAGGCATCGTCTGTGTGGAGTTCGGAGTACACTGTGTACCATTCGACACTGAGATCTACAGAATATAGATAGGAGATTAGATGAAGCGGGATCGTATACTACTTTCAGCACACCCAGCAAAAGAGGACCTATCAGATGTCCATGACCACAGCTGAGATATCTCTCTTTCATATGTCAAACGGGGTAAAACTCCCAGAACCCTAAAGATCAAAGCTAACGTGTGTCGCCGAAACTCCTCAATCCTAAATAACCCAATCTACGAACAATGAACCGATCACTCCAGGAGCCATTAGTCCACGTACACCAGCCCAATCCTATCCGTATACATTACGTACTTTGATCAAAGCTTTTGTTACAAGCCTTCTAAGAGGATCTGCTCCGGGGCCCAGAACAAAAGAAGTGGTCTGAACCCCGCTTGTTTTTGTATATTTGAATATCGAGAGGCAGTTGTATCAACTATCCCTCCCTTACAAGGATATAACAGTATAACAATACACGTAACTTTCAGTATTATATGTATGGCATGTCCACGTAAGTAATATGGATCCCTTTTCCCCGGTGCCAAGCCACTAACCGAGGAAACTCCACGGCACTTCTCGAACAAAGTGTGCCTGGAACAAATTCTCTTGGTTTCGCCCCAGTACGAGAGTGGAGAGGTGGGTAAAGGCTTGGGGACCGAGTGTTGACGGCCGGATTTAGAAGGTGTCGATAGTCGGTGTTTATTTACTTGCTAAAGTGGTTTCTATGTGTACATGTACAATGTTAGTCAATATGAGCGGATTTCTATTTCTGTACTCCGTACGTTGTATGGGGCGAAACCTCAGAATAGATATCTATTCGTATACACTTTGTAGTCTTTGGTTGATTTATTTTTGATAAATTGCTCTACTCTACGCGCCTTGCATTGACCCTTATCTTCTGAAAGGTCGGCGGTAAGGTTTTTAGAGCCAAGATTTTAGGCGCCCCTTGCCTCTAGGCAATGCATGATGATAACAGAGCCTCGGGAAAGCGGGTCTCTTATAGTGTTCATCCCTCAATTTGAAAGCTGGGGAGGCTTTGATGCGCTGGTCGCACACTTGTACGGAACGTGCATAAGGAATGATGATAAGAATAGAAAAATAGTATATACTGTGATATTACCGAATTGTTCTCCCAGATGCCTCTCATTAAACCAATTTACGAAAAATGAAGATGGCAAAACAAGGGATCGATGTGATAGATGCAGTGGTCTGTTCCAACGAGGAGGATAGCCCAAAATTTTTTAACGAAAACGACCACGGGGTCTACCAACATACTAGAGGCGCCTGCGCACGCTAGCAGACAGCAAAAAAAAAAGGTGAGATGTGGGGAATATGAGAAAGGGAAAAGAAAAAAAAAAGATGCGTAAGGTACAAGAACGAGCATTTTAGCGAGGGGAGAAACGCTTGAAAGCCAACGTGGCAGCGAAGCCAGCGGCAAGTAGCGAGCCACCAATAGTGACGGCCTGGAGGGCAGCGTTCATCATCTGGTGACGATTGCGGGTGCTGCAGCGCTTGTAGAAGTCGGCCATGTCGTTGCCACGGGGGAAGGGTGTATCAGGGACCTCCTCCTCGAGGAACTCGCAAAGCGGGGCCCAGCCGTCGTTGATATTGTATTCGAGCAGACGCTCGGGGGGAACCATGCTGCGGACCTGAGCGACGTGATCCTCGTAGACTTGCTTACCCTTGCCGGGGAAGTCACCACGGAAGAATGTCTCGAAGAACTTGTTCAGCATGGGGTAGTACATGCCAGCAGCCCAGCTGAAGTTCGACACGAACTTGTGCTCTGGGTCTGAGACGCGCCAGAAGACAGTCTTCATGACGGAGCTGGTAATTGGTTAGTATGGTGTTCTTTGGACCAGAAATATTGATCTATAAGGTGTGACTAGGACTTACGCGTGCCACGGGTCGACATCACGGGTGGTCAGAATGACTTTAGCATTGGGGTAAGCCTCAATCAGCTCCTTTGCAAAGGCACAAGCAGGCCAGTCACAGACGGCCTGGCAGTCACCTAGAAGCTGGTCCCATTCCTTGCGGCCGAACTCGCCGATTCCGTTGTACTTCGCGTTCAGGGCATCGTGCCACATCAAGCAATCCGGCGGGTTCTCAACACTTGCGCACATCATGTGGTAGCACTTGCCATAGCCCAGACGCTCAAAGGCCTTGCGAAGAGCTGTCAAATGACAGTTAGTTTATATTGTTCCTCGTTCTTATCAGACCCGGTATATACACTAATACACCAAGTCTAATGCAGCACAGCCCATCATACTCACAGGCGGTTCCGGTACGACCAACACCCAGAGCAAGAACCTTCATAGGTACTGTGCGGTGGCACTTTCGGCGGTCAATGTTTGTGTCATCGGTGAAGATGTCGGTCATGGGCTGGGGAGCCAGATTATCGGAGAGCATGAGAGACATGGTGGTGTATTTATAAGCTCGATTATAGTTCGATATAGTTGGAACTTTTATAGAGAGAGAAGAGGTGTAGATGATATATAAACGAATGGAAGTAATCGAGCTTAAAGGAAAAAAAAAAACAAGACTTATAGAAAAAGTCTAGAAGGAAGGGGGGGTTTTATGAGGTTGATATGGAGATAAGGGGAAAAGTAAATGAATAAATGAATAAATGCAAAAAAAAAAAAAAACAGACTTAGTGAACTGATCCCCAAGGGAGATCAATACTGTAGAATCAATCAAGTAGAGTGGGCATTTAGTCACAGTGGCAGTGCCAATGACGAGGCTCGAACCACTTTTTCACAGTCCCCAAGCACTATGCATGTCTCCCCGCGAGTGGCAATGTTTCCACTCATTATGTCCGAGTCTTGGCTTTTGGGAAATATTCCTTCATTCCTGAACTCCGATTATGTCCCATTTGGGACAGGTGGATTCCAAAAACCGAGGGATCCACGAGTGTACACGAAATATGTTGTACAGTCACAGCGTTAAAAGACATTGGGATACCTACGTTGAAAAGTCATTGTATATACAATGTACTGAGGCGCGCAGAGGCACGACGTCACAGGCTGACGCACAGGGATGTCAAGGATTGTCAGGGGTGAACGTTTTTGTGGAGTCGAGTATGGTATAGTATGGTAAAGTCTGTATGGTACAGTTTGTATGGTATAATCCATGTGTAAAACGTCGGGGATTTTGGTACCGACAGGAAAATTACCAAAAGTAATTCCAGTCAATGCTGTCTGTCGTTGCCAAGACCGATCCACGTACGCTTCCTGGTCAAGTTTTCCCGACAAAATTGACGATCCATGCAATGCCGGTCATTGGTGGAGCTTCAAATGGAACGCGTACACCTTCAACTTGTGGAGAGTGCCTATTTTTGAATGTGATGGCCGTGTCAGTGTGAGTGTACCACATACATCGTAGGCTCATAGATCATCGTAGACTTATCTACTTTGTATGAGTATGTGGTGTTGCTGTTTGACATCTCATATCCAGCATACCAGTCAAAACGGCTGGGGTTGGGTCAGCCAAGCTTGGCCCACAATGTTCCAAGCAGATCAATCTCGCAGCTGTCCCGCCAGGGGAATATCGTTCCGGGTACGAGAGTCTGGTGCCTCCGCTCCGTCAGATTGATTGCGTTTGGCTCGTTTGAGACTGAGGTTGCCTGTTCCACATGTCAAAGCCGAGTCTAATTTCCGCTCAACCCTGCGGAAGGGATGTAAGAGTTTCAGCCAGTCAGTCAAGATGGGGCCCTTCTCCTGGATCGTCCCGTCACGCTGCCTATCACAGGAAAGACCACCTGCTCGATGTGTTGCGGACTCAAACCCGTTATATCACCGAAGTAGCGATCAGGGGGAGGTGGCGCTGGGCGTGCTAGAAACGAAGTTTCGTAAGATATTCATTGCCAGGGGTATAAATCTCCGGTGTGTACGAAGTGACTATTTCCGTGGTTCTGCCGTCACACATCAGTATTGTCACGGCTGAACTGATCGTCCCGTGTTGCTGAGATATTTTCCATTTGGGGATAGTACCGTCGTAGACCCCGGCTCTTTCACGTGTCCAGAACAACTGAGTAGATGTCTGTGAGGCTGCGTACATAGGCAGTTAATACGATATCATGGTATGATATCATAGTCTATGACGGAGGGTATTCGGGAGACTTCATCGCCATATAGCGCGTGGGACATGCATGCTTAAGTCAGAGTAGGGTAGACTCTTTATGGCCAGTCGAATGTAGTAAAAGTGAAGAAGAATAACATACCCAGCAAGGCAAACCCTTTTTTAAGGGTCAACAGCGACAGAGCTCCTTAAATGTGATATGCCAAGACCATGAGACCAACGCTCGCCATCGCTCGCAATTGTTCGCCATCGATCACCTCACCAAGCCATGACCGATTAGGAAGCCCCTCCATAAAATGGAAACAGGGCTGAATATTACAATCTAATCTAAGCTTAATGTTCCTGGGTTGGCCCATTAAGCCAAGTTTGTGCATTCCGTCTCCGCCAGGCATCCACCGACGGCAGTGTTTTCGGCAGTCAGTGACAGCACAGCTATATTGCAAACCATGAAGCAGGCGTTCCTTTGATGCTGGCGGAAAGAGAATACGAGGGAAAATCTTGGCACTAACCCATCACCCCCTCGTGGACGTTATATCAAAGCTTCACATATGTCTCAGCTCTATTATACCTGGGTACTTATAGTGGACTAGATCATAACCATACGTATTTACCACTACAATTTCAAGGAGTAGGTATATTCGGTGGGAAGTGAAAAAGAATCTCACATATCATGCCTAATGCTGTGACCATGGATCATCAGCATATCATACCAATTTTCACATCAGTGTAAGCACTGGGAGCTAAGGGGAAGTAATAATGATGATATACTGTTCTAACTGTGACGATATCTGCCGCTCCCTATCTTCCCCTCGTCCACCACCACATCCCCACTACATCACTCAATTGCGGACGTCAATTTTTTTATTGTCTTGTGATCGTTGTCTTATCATCGTTGAGATCTCACTGTTTACCAAGCATCCTTTCGAAGCCGAGCATGCAGTCGTCGACGTCAGGTAATCCCCCAAGCCACGCTCCCCAGTCAAAGAAACGTCGAAAATTAGTTCCTACCGTTGGTCCTGAAATGGTGGAAACAGTCCTCAATTTTTCGGGAATGGTGGCAGATATAAACAGCGATGTTCCTGTCGTTCGCTCTAGTGCGGTTCAAAGGCTGACAGTGTTGTCACCCTTGATGCAACAACTCGCACAATCAAAGGAACCTGCCACCGTCCATTACACTGCTGGGAGATGGAAGTCCTTTGAAGAGGCATGCAACATTCTACAAGTAACACACGATCCGCAAGAACACCTTTGGGACCGGCCGGACATCGACAATGTTCCCCCAGCCACCCTTTCACCTGATGTGGACAGCGTCATTCAACGACTTCAAAAAACTAAATACCATAAGCTCGATAGATCGGAAACCTCCATACGCGTCGTTGTCGAGCTACTTGTTCTTGACCGGCTTCATAATCTTTGTGACAGCCGCTCACTGGAACATCTACAGCTCTGTCCAGAGGTAGACGTCGATCTTACCCTCGGCGATAAGTACATCACTGGCCGTGCTGACTGGTTGCTTTGCCACGACGATCCTCAATGTGGTATTGATTCGACGTTAGTTGCTATAGAGGCGAAGCGGAGTCGCGATTTTTCCTCCGCCGACTCTCAACTAGCTACGTACCTCGCAGCTGTGCAGGCCAGCCGGGCCAAAGCCTCAAAGATCCATGCTATTGCTTTCGGAATCACAACGGATAGCAACAAATATCAGTTTTGGTTTATGGATACTGAACGGCGGCTTTTCTCTTCTGTGGTTTTTGAATGGCGTCTCCATAAGGCCAAGATCATCACCTGGATGGACAAAATGTTAACCGAAGCGATTGAGGCCTCACCTCTAACGACCCCAACTCTACAGCGGAATGTTTCTCTCCGCAACTGGGAGAAGGATTTTCGACGGCGTCAGCTCTTGAGTTCGGAATCAGACGATTCCCCTTTGACTGATGGGCTCCCCTTCAATATCATAGTTCCAGACGACTCCTGCCTTGTCGGCCATGCGTGGTACCAAGGACATAAGGTTATGGTTATCGAGTACGACGACCCGGAGATGAGTGATGACACCGACGACTAGGCGAGAAGAGATGACGCCGACTACCAGGAGAGAAGAGATGACGCTGACGACGGAGAGAATCGTATTATTACTAATTGGCTTCATTTGTGTAACGTTGCTGCGGCAGAATTCGTTTACAACCCCAATCAATATTCAATTATCATACATGTGATGTCCGTTAGTGGTTGTGGCGTACATTAACCATAAACTTTGGACATGTCCAAGAGGCACGTAGGCCAAGCCAACATGTTGTCCATATACTTGTAAGATATATGGTAGGAATGGTGTAAGCACTGAAAGCTGAGGGGAAGTAATGATAGTGTATTCATGTAACTATAGCAGTCCTACAAAAGTGACCGGGTCGTGAGATCACCTGACGGTGACATCTGCCGCTCCCTAAAGAGTCGACCTCGGTTGACCGAAGTAGACTAAGTACATGTGTAAAAACGCCTGTAAAAGGTCAATGCCGGACACTCAAGTCGACGGCGATATGAACGCAAAGAAGAAACGCAACGCGAAGTTCAAAGTTCAGAAAGCTCCACCAGAGGTAGTCAACGCTGTAGGTAAAGCAAAGCAGAAGTCAAGAGTTTAGTTGTGCTCTCTGACTATATTCACGGAGTCCGTAGGTGTCACCGACGTCGTCCCCATCTGATTCCGTTGCGCCATAGGTATTAGTGTAATTTCCATGTGCGCTTTCCAACGCCCTCTCCAGGATACATCTTTGCCAGTCGTCCCTTAGGGCCAAGCGTTGTGTTATCTGTGAGATCATACCGTTGTATTGTTGGTGGTTATCTACGATCTCTTCATTCAGGCGTAGGATGCGTTGTGCTTCGGGAGTATCTAGTTCCGTCTCCATGTCGGTGATCGTAGTGAGTTTGTCGGCAATTGCGTCAATGTAGTCGCAGTCGTCAACTAGGTCTGCGCTGAATGAGCCGAACATGCGACGGATATCGTCTTTCGTGGTTTCATATTTTCGCTTCCGGCCATCTGTCAGGGACGCAATAGAGGGGCTTTGCTGTGGTGGTTCATTGTCACGTATAGAGAGACTCTCTGAAGGTGAGTCGCGATCGTTGACTACTAAATGTGTAGCAGGATGCTGACCATGGTTTGTGTCCGCTGGTCCTTGGGGGTCTGCTGATACCGTTGTCGAGCCTAGGTTCTGGTTGATAGCAGACGAAGTGGGGCTAATCGGGTTGACGGCGTTGAAGGTTGTGGTTGCAGTCGGCTGAATTAGCTCGACGGAGGGTGATCCCTCTTGATATCGAGTCCCAGCAGGGTCAGGGTCAAGAGGGTGACGCCAAGTGGTTATCGCCACAAGTGTAGTAGCGCGCTTATCAATGAGCGAAATGGCGTTGGTCCTGCGGTATGGGCTGGCCCTCCGTGTAGACCATGTTTCATCGTCGACGTCGTTGGGGCGGTTGGCGACGGTGTTCTGGCTTGGTCCAGCATTAGGGTGAAAGCCACGGATATTAGCTGGTCGCGTCAACGTCAGAGTCGCGCCTTGGAGAACGAGGACCTGACGCTTCGTCGAACATTTGAACGTGGGAACTGGAGTAAACTTCGACCAGTCGTAAGCGTCGAAGTCGACGTTCAGGATACGGCTCATATCCACGGGTGGGTGAAGTTTCTTTGGAGATACCGTTATCTCTCCGAGGTGCCATCCTTCGTGTTTGAGCTTCGCGTGGCTCGTCTTCGTCGTAATAAGCCACAGGTATTTCCGTAAATGCGAGCCTACCAGGGCATAGTAGTCGGCGAACACGGGGATGAACGGGATGCCGTGGGCCCATACGATAACTGGGTGACCCATTGGCCATCGTCGAGGGTAAATATCCCCAGCGCTGTCGAAGTCCGCCGGCCACTTGCCGTGGCGGTTTCTCGTGGCGGCGACGTTCTGACCAACGATCAGAAAAACGAGGGCGTCGGACAGTCGATGGTCACCTGGTGGTAGTACAAGGTATCCATTGCTGTCGAATTCAATCTTGTCGTAGTAAGGGAGGTCGTGGTCCTTGGAGTATCCAGCTAGTTCTAGCTGTGCGTTCTTGTTCATGACTGAGAGGTGACGCGCCGTGTCTCGCGCTTCGTCGTCGGCGCATATGCCATATCGGGGGTTTGAAGGTCTGGTAGATGACGGTCGTCTAACGCGTGGCATGGTGACGGTGTCGCTGGCGATTGGACATAGGAGAGGGTCGTAAATTCAGATAAGAGTAAAGGGTATAAGAGTAAGAGATGAGGTAAAAGTAAGAGAAGGTATAGACATAAGAGGGGTAAACAAACATGAAAGAGCAACTATTGTCTACGACATATCATCAGGTAGGCATTCGCCGGCCCGTTCTTCAGGTATATCGGATTCCTAGCCGCCGAGTTGCCTCTGTCTTGGTCCCTCAAATTCCGTTATATTCTCCTCGGTACCCACGGCATCGGCCTGCGTACCCACTGTGCTTGTTCTCTGGGTTCTCCTTGCCCACCGGTACACCTGAAACTCCATGAAAATGACTGTTTTTGATTTGATTTATCCAATGCGGTCGGGGCCGCAATCGATAAGGGTCCGTCCCCATATCGCCCCCGGAATCCGAGTATCAAGCTTGTCTCCTACTCCAACTTATCCAGGTGTTCTAATCGCGTGAGAACAACCTGCTTGCTTGTCTCTTGAATCTCGCCTGCGAGAAATACTTCGTCCAGGATAGCGTAGACCTATAAATCCGGCACACGTGGTCAGTATCACGTCTCCTGCAACTCCGATCCCACGCCAGCCCCGGTTCATGCCGAGCAGTGCATGTCCATCGATTTGCACGCACCTTGTAGAAATTGAAGACCAAATCCAACTCGCACACATTGCCAAAGAATTGGTCCAGCACTTCGACGAAGAAATGGATTGCTTCGAGATAGGCTAGTTCGTTGTCATTCGCGTCGACGCAGACGCAAAAGAACAAGCCAGCATATCTTCGGTAGACGACCTTAGTACTCCGACGGAACTCAACAAAGTTGGACTGGTATTTCTGATCTCGGGGAGCGACGAGGCGATGGACCTATACGGTTGTCGGTGGTTAGTTGGATGGGGAACCTCGGAGCAAGTGCGGGTTACGGGTGGTATTGCATGGACGAACCTCGCCTTTCAGTTTGACTTTCTCTTCATCCTGTAAGCCAATGTCAGCTCAAAGACCCAATTCTGTATTGACGGATGAGTTCTGGCAACACTCACACTGTAAGGTGAGTACCATTTCGCCAGGCGCGTTTTCCCCCTATACCGTCATTAGCGTCTGGAATCGAAAATGACCGAGGCGGACAGCCACTCACTGGCGATTCTGAACCAGGATAAATGAGAGGACCATTGCGATAGAAGGCCAGGATATTACCTGGTCAGCATTTATGAAACCACTCGGGGAGTGTTGCGACAAGCTTTGGGTGGTCTCCGCTGCTCCCGTTATCGAAGCTCCCCTCCGATATTGCCCGGATTCACCGCCTATATCGGATTATATAGAGATGCAGGTGAAATGGAAGCGTATATTGGAGAATTGTAGGAAATTATTCTACTAAATCTTCAAGCAATCTTGGTTCCCATAAGACATCCAATACATCAACTGAACTAGTATAACAATATTTGCAAAACATAAGAGTATCAACAGACATAAAGCGTAGAATTCGTTAGAAGCTCCCCATCTCCCCATCACAGCTCGGTGTAACTGTAACAACGAGGCAACGAGTGACACTGCGTAGTGACGGAACAAATTGACCTGATTTGCCATGTTCCATATCAACTAGCCACAGTTCTCACCCCGAGCTCATCCGATTCCAGAACCTCGTCAGGCGAGTCTAGAAATAAACCATTAGCAACCATGTAGCTGTAGCAGTGAGACTGGGAGGAAGTCCCCCCCCCCCCAAAAAAAGGAAGCAGAAGGCAATAAACCAGAAAATGAAAGAAATAAACAACATACCGTATAGCTCTGCGGACTAGTTGGCTCTGTAAAACTATCCCCCTTCTGGCCCTGAGCCTGACTCTGCCGCTGAGTCTGGCACTCCTCCTCAGACTCCTCCTCAGACTCATAATCCTCTTCGTACTCAGAATCAGGATACCACCGTTCAGGATCCCCATTGTAAACAAGATACCATCCAATCTTCTCACCAGGGGCTAGTCGATCGCGCAATTCCTCCAGCGCCGCGGTCTGGTCATCCGTCAACCCAGATCCCTGTTCAACACAATCTTCAATATTCTCTCCGCCACAACCACCACTCCCATCCTCTGGAATCTCCAGGACCCGCGTTGAGATATACGCATGGTCCTGACTGACAGTGCCACTTGTCTCGTCGGCGGGGTCATACTGCTCGATAAACGACAGCTCCGGCAGCCGAGTCACGAGGTCCGCTTGTGTTTTGTGGAAGGATTCTGCGAGGAGCTCGGTCGTCAGCGGCTGCTGGATGTATTCCGCTGCTGCTTCTTCCAGGTTGTGGAGTACGATGTATACGCGGATCCCCGTGAACCCAGCGCGGGGCCAGCGGAAGCCGTGGAGCATATAGACCGGCATAGTAGTTAGCCTTTTTTTGTTTTTCTTTTGGGCCTTTTTCGGAGTTCGGGGGAAACTGTCGCAGTGTCTAGCGACCACTAGCTTGAGAGGACGGTCGGATTTGCAGGGGATTCGGAGTTCATATTATGTCTGTGTCATGGCTCGTGTGGTTTTTCGGGACGGGTGGTGTATCGAGTACGATTGGGTTTGGCGGGTCCCGTGCGTAGTTCCAACGGGGGTTTCGATTTGCACTGCGTTAATATGTCTCCAATATAGGATGGAACTCGATAGTAGGGTAATATATAATCAGCCTGTTTCATTAGATTTTAGCTGGTAGCTGGAAACCCGCAGGGCTGGAGAAACGGTCGTGCCTTGCCGCTATCACGTGTCATAAACTATGCAGTTCGTTGGCCATGTAGATTTGCTACAGTACAGGTTCTTAGCTTCTACTACACTCAATTAAAACATTGACATGGATTCTTTAAGGCGGAAGCTATTGAGAAAGAATTAAAAAAAGAAATGTGTTCATTCCAGTGTAACATTATCTCGGATTCGTTTGCTTCAACGTTGAAAGTACGGAGTCTCCAACTTCGGAGTTCCGCACTGAACATGATCTATCATATTCGGGGAACCACCTGGTCTAATTTAGAACCCGCTATTTCACAGGTAGCCATCGTTTAAAATGAGGAGATATGATGCATTATGCGGGGCCAGAGCCAAGACATTCGACCTAGCTAAGCCCTGTCCAAGCCACCGGGAAGGAAACCGACATGAAAAATGGCTAAAATCAAGACGCTGAGTACTGAGTTCTGGATAATGAGATACTGAGCTTCCCAATTATGGTCTCCTCTTCAAATCCGCAAATCTTCGCGTCAGTTCATCCAGCTCGGGTATCCCACCGTTGTTGCTCTTGCTCTTAGATGCAGTGTCCTCCTTTGGGACAGCAGCGGCTTTTGCCCCTGTACCGGGAAGCTTGACTCTGGGATGGGGATTGTCCGTCCTGGGAGCTGGCGGCGCAACGCTAACAGGACTTCGGCCCGAAGCGAGTCCACGTGGAGGCGTAGCTTTGGTCAATTCACTGGCATCTGAGGCACGTCTCGCTTCAGAGGGGTTCGGCCTCGATCCTGAGTCTCCTTGCTGCTTGCCAGGAGTTTGCGGCAATTGGGGTTCCTCTGCATCACCATCATCGTTATCACCAAGATCATCCACAAATTCCGGCGCACTTCCCAGCTCTTCTTCGGCTCCATGCCATTCAACGCCGTATGCGTTCGCAATTTCTCGAAGGTAACTCTCCACAAGTTCATGACCTGGTGGACGCACACGCAATCCCTTGACAAGCCGATCCGGAACCTTGACAGTATCGACCTTATTATCTTGCGCTAGAGTCATAAACTCCTTGCCGTATCGCTCGCCCAGCATAGTACGAAGCATAGTGAATTCGCGCACCTCATGGGGAAAGCGATGCCATGCATAGAAGACCACCGTAGCAGCCTCATCGATTGCAGTGTCCATGTAGGGATTATCTTCATCCGCAAGCCCATCACCGGAGTCATCCGCCGCACCAGATGCTGTAATGGGCGCAGCCCGCTCAGCCTCCTTCTTTTGCGCTCCTCCTCCCAGCCAAGAGAACCCGAATCGCGAGCCAGTGCTTTCCCCAGCACCCTTGACACCCGCAGTGGTTGATACTGTAGCACCAGCTTGTTCCTGGGTGCGCTTCTTGAGCAATTCCTTGGCGCGAAGTCTAGCACGGGTCCCCTGGTCGCTGAAGGCCATCTGATCCAACACATTTGCGCGCGCCAGCAGCAGCTCACAGTAGAGCTCGACCATCTCCATTACCTCCACTGCGATATCTGTTGCGATGACATTTTCGACTCGGATGCGCGCTGATGCATCGCGGCCTTCACTGAGTAGCTGGGAGAGTTCGCGGCGTTGGACGACCGAGGAGGCTGTGTCTTTCTTTTGTAGGAGGCGGAGACGGGGGATAAGGAGGCGGAGGTTAGAAACTAGTCTAGTCTTTGATTCCACTGTGTTAGTTTGGTTTCTGTATCAGACGCGCATGGGAGTTGCAGGGCAGGCAGGCGTCATATAGGCAGTGCGGGGTAGGCTTAAGAGCTCTAGGTAACGAAGTTTTGGGGGAAGTGCTCCGATCATGGATTGCGTATAGCAAAGGAATATCAGTCAAAGAAGAGAAGGTCATTATGGCTTACCGTTTGAGCCGAGGGAGGCATTTTGGCGTGAGAAGTTGTTAGAAGAGAAGATGTGGGGGGTGGGGGAAATGGAAGCCGGGGCCGAGAAACCTTGGGGTCGATCACTTTATGGGTTTACCCTCTGTTTTCTCACTTTTGAAACTTGAAGAAATTCCACAAAAATCAAACAATGGAATGATGGCATGATAGCATGGTAGCATGGTAGCATGCTAATTAGGCATTTGGAGTGTGTTCGGTGTTCTCGGAGTTCGGGGTGTTCTGGGTGCCCGTGTCATAGCTTTGATATCAGCTTCTTGCTTCCTGAGTTTCTGCTGCTCCAACGTGTCGGCAATAGTCTGTTGGAAATCTTTGGTGTAGAGGAGCCATTTGTTGATCTCCTTTGTCTGTTTGTTGTATCGGGCTGTGATCTCATCTAACAATAAATTGAACTCATTCGAGGTCGTGTTGACGCTCTCGACGCATTCTAAATCTCATCAGATCGGAAGTACTCAAAATGTAGACAATGCATTACCCTGAATACGGTCTTCCTCCATAGTGAATAAGCTTCAAGTGCTAAATGATGTGGTGAATGAGATTGGATGGAGAGATAGGAAAAGCAGATGAGGAGAACAGATGGCTACCTAGATTGGAGAGACTAGACAAACAGAGGTCCTAGGTTTAGTTTATCGTAATTCTATTTACTTTGTTTATGACAGTGAGACAGTGGCCTTGACTACATCACTAATATACTATGTCTTCGCTGTTTTCATTTCTCATACTTCCCTGTTTTGGACCTGCATTCTGTGATAACCTTGGCTTCATGATATTTGACACATGAGATCTTGGATATAATCCTAGAGATCTATGCTTTGTCTTTTTTTAATATACCTAAAACCCTGCCAATAGATGCTTTGCCACCGTTTTTAAGCTTACGGGGACTTCCGTTTTAGGAAGTTAACGGGAGTGGGTCTCCAGAGTACTTCCAACGAAGATATAAAGACCCTCTCGATCTCAGTTCTCTTTTCTCATTCAAAAATATTCTAATAAGCAAAATGGCCTTACCCAACCACCCTTCCACCAAGGCGCTGCATGCAGACGATACCTTAAATCAAGTAGCCGACGTCGCACCCCCAATCCATCTCTCTACAATCTTCCGATACCCCAATGATCCAGATCAACTCATCCCATCCGAAGATCCGGTAGTACGTCTCAAACAAATACACAAATATTCACGTTCCCAACTAACAGGCCCATCTAGGATGAATTCAACGGCAAGAACTATGTCTATTCCCGCGAATTCGCCCCCAATGCAACTCGCTTTGAAGCAGTGCTCTCATCCCTAATAGGCGGCCACGCAGTGAGCTACTCAACAGGTCTAGCCGCCCTACACGCTGCTCTCACACTGCTCAACCCGCGCCACATCTCCGTCGGCGAGGGTTACCACGGCAGCCACGAAGTCATCGCGGTAGTATCACGTATGTCCGGGCTACAGAAACACGCTCTCGACTGTCCCGCCGAAAATCTAGGTCCCGGCGATGTCATCCTACTAGAGACACCCGTCAACCCGCTGGGGACGGCATTCAGCATCGAAGAATATGCACGCAAGGCTCACTCGCGCGGCGCATTCCTCATTGTCGATAGTACGTTTGCGCCGCCTGGCTTGCAAGATCCGTTCCTGTGGGGCGCGGATATCGTCATGCATTCCGGATCCAAGTATTTCGGTGGACATAGCGATTTGCTTTGCGGAGTGATTGCTACGAAACGCGCTGATTGGACGAAGCAGTTGTTTGAGGATAGGATCGCGCTTGGGAGTGTGATGGGGAATATGGAGAGTTGGCTTGGGATCCGGAGTTTGCGAACGCTGGAGGTCCGGGTTCAGCGGGCGAGCCAGAATTCGGCGAAGTTGATTTCTTGGCTTCATGGTGCTATGCAAGCCTCGTCTCCTGCTAGCGGTAGTGAGGAGATGGTTGTTCAGTCGGTTGTACAGAAGATTCACCATGCTAGTTTGCAGGATGAGCCGTGGTTGCAGAAGCAGATGCCTAATGGGTTCGGACCTGTCTTCTCTATTGTCCTACACAGTGAGCAGTTTGCGAAGGTTTTGCCGACTAGACTTCACTTCTTCCAGCATGCTACTAGTCTCGGCGGGGTTGAGTCTTTGATTGAGTGGCGGGCCTTGTCGGATTCCAGAATTGACCGGAAACTGCTGAGAGTTAGCGTTGGGCTGGAGAACTGGGAGGATCTGAAGGATGATTTGCTGCTGGCATTCAAGTCGCTTTTGGGATGAAGCTAAGTTAATCTTACGTCTGTGCGAGATGATATGAAAGATTCTGGTTATATTCAACGTATGTTATATTAGAAGACAGTCACGACCCAAACGACCAATATCAAATATCCACCGCGATGGAGTCTCCAACTCTTCCTCCCGGTCCCAATAATCTTTCAAGATCTTCGCTGCATTTATAACATTCAAACAGTTCGTAGCAGTCCAGAACTTCTCTAAGGATACAACCAAAAAGTCCTTCTGGGCCTGAGACCGACACTCCAAGCCGGCCACGAAGATAGCCCACAGAACACATTTGAAGAGCGACTCGTCATCTTTCAAAATATCAATCAGACCCAACAGCTCGGAAACCAAATCATCCTGCACAGTGGTTGCTTCTGTGAGTGCATCAAGAATGCGTCTCCCATATAGCAAAGCCCCGATTTTGAATACCTGTGATAATGTGCAGAGATTATTGATTTCGTCCGAGGAAGACTGCCTCGAGTGTTGAAGACTCGAAGCCCAGGTGTAAGCGTCAAAGTTTTGGATGAGTTCCATCATCGCAGTAGTATCTTGTATGTGTGTTTGGAGAGCGGCACCGTCCGGCAGGTGTCCTGCGATGGCGTCCCTTTCGTTGGAAAGAAATTGTATCGCCGACAACAGGAACTCTGGACATCCAAGGAAAGATTGTTCAATTTCTTCGTGTGGTTTCCTCTCTGCTTGGTCGTCAAATATGAATTTTGACAGCAGCTTCGGTCGCAAAAATGTTGCTCCCAATGTTTCAATTCTATTTTGAAATCGGTCAGTCTCTCGCGTGGCTTTATAGCATCCATTAGGCTTAGTATAACTCACAAATGAATCTGGCTGGAGATAAACCCCCAGATCTGCTGGACAGTCTGGCCAGGTCCATTATTAACTCCAGCTTGCGCCTCCAGCAGCGGGCGGTGCAATGTAATCAATCTCTTAGCACCCTCAAGATGGAAATTCCAACCTTCACTTCCGGATTCGAGGAGATCCAGGAAGATAAAAAGAAATATGCTAGCGACTGTTGTGTTGCTTGTTTCTGTTTTTCCGTCGCCAAGTACCCTTGAGAGAGCTTCCATAGCTTGATGCTTGAACAGTAGCGCATCGCGATTGGCGTTAACGAGACCAGCGGATGTCGGAGCTTGAATTTGATGAAACGACTGGCCCGTATTGGCATGGTGCCGCGCCGCGAGAGCAAGTATACCCTTTTGTAAGACCGGATCATTCAATCCAAAGGATATCAAACTCCGAAATGGATTTCTGGGGCTGTCGTATACAATGAACAATTTGCATATGCGTTCGTTATCTCATTGCGATGTCAGCAATTAATAAACTGGTAGTAAAGCTTTTCACACGGGTCTTACAGTAGTCTATATAATATTTCGAGGTTTGATCCAGGTTTGACATGGACGGGTCTTGCAGGGTAACTGGAAGAGTTCCGCTGCCTGCAGAAGCTTGGACCAGCGCGCGAGACGACTTCTTCGGTTTTGATAGAGCGGACTTGGTATTTTTAGACGTGTGCACAGGAGTGTCACCTGCCATACCCTCATATGAATGGCCTTGCATCTTTCCACGAATGGCCACGCCCTTGACCCACCTCAGAGGTCTTTTGTCGAAGCATTCCATGCCGGCCTTCTCGCACTTGACGCATGGCGGTCCGGACTGGTCGCATTGAATGCGGCGGTTGCGACATGTCCAGCATGGACCGCATACTGTCTCCATTTGGATATGGCATAGGGAATGTGGAATGTGGCGGAGAAAGGTATAGGATTCGCGGTCCACTCCAGAGCTCGAAGATTTGCTGACTGAGCAGACCGGGTATAGCCGCCCACGGCAATTTATGGCCATCACGATAATACGCATTGAAACTTGGTCTTTTAATTCAACTTCACGAATTTTTCTCATACTCTGTGTCTGTTATTTAAAAATACAAGAGACGACATAGAAAAAGTGACAAAAAATGACCTTTCGTATGCCAAAAGGGTATTCCAAGGTTAAAGGTGATTATAGACACCACTAACAGGCTGGTCGGCCCTCAAAAGTGGTTACATCTTCTTATCATGCCTATATATATTTTTTCTATCTCTTCAATTCTTAATTAAATCTATGTATATAATATGACTTTAATATATATATATATCCCTTTTAATTGATAATCTAGACAGCTTCAAGGCTCATATTGCCCTATATGGTAGTAGACCGTTGAATCTAACTCTACTAGTTCGGAACAATATATCCACAAGACTACCAGACCAGAAGCTTAATCGGATATGTTGTACAGCCCTAAGCGGAAGCAGAGCCATTGCTACGACACTCAATTTGACCTATGGATAGGAGTCCAGCAAAGCTGATTAGAAAGATACACCATTGAAGGCCTTACAAAAGAGGAAAATATAGATGTGGCTGGCGGAGGTATTTACACCACACCATAGACGCCCAGCGACAGTGGGACTCTCAAAGTCACATTCGACGAGTCTCACCAAGATTAGTAACGGAGAGACCGACCTATCTGAGACATGTAAGACCCAAAGAAATAGACTTGCAGCAACCCACCAGTCCTCGAATTGCTGTAGCCAATGCGGGCCCGACGGCCTAGGGAGAGGCACCAGGCACCGTCGAACCAATCAAGCATGACACGCAGTAAAATCGAACCAAAGAAAGCGAGGATAAGCCACTACAGCACACGATGTCTCCAATTTGGGGGCCGAAGAGCGGTCCGTGAGAAGTAAGAAGAGAGAAGCTTACTGTCCGGTCAAAATTTGGTGTACAGATTTAGAACATTAGTCCATTTGGTCAACTTAGTCCCATTCTAACTGGTCGACCCACTAGTCATTGAGCCACGCTGATTGGTCTGCTCGGTTCCTGACATCATTGGCGTGGGACTCTGTTGTCGCTATTCCTATTTAGGAAGAATATCACAACTGTAGGGTTGATTTTAGCAATCTCTTCGCGTTTCAGTGTTGCTTAGCCGTAGACGTGAGAGATTAGCGTGCTGGGTATGCTTTATTTATATAGCTGCGAGAGTTCGCCCACTAAGTGTAGTCTACTGTTTCCTATCCCTATAAACCAACTCCTCCCTGCAAGAATTACTTCGAATCAACATTTACATACACCAACAAAGAAGAATCTGACATTGATACCTTCTTCTGGCTACAGTGAGTGCATATCTAACCCCATAATATGCCCCCTATTTCCAAAAAAAAAAAAACAACTAACGAGACCTTTTCTCTTCTACAGCCTCTTCAACCCACAATGCCTACCATCCCACCCACAATAGAGATGACAATCACACAAACATCCACAATAAATAAGGCTACAAGCTTGCTCAAGCGCAGCGGTCTGAGCAACCCGGACAAATACTCCCTCTACATTTTCCTCATCATCGCCGGATGCATTGTAGGAGGACTCATCGGGTTCAGTATATACACTATGTACCACGGCCTTGACGAAACAGGTTATGTGAAGGACGTGCCATACGAGCAACGAAAATACATGCGCGAGACCAGGCAGCGGTATTTGAACATGTTGGCTCTTGAGGCGAGGAGACCTGATATGATTGTTCCTATCAGGGAAGTGGATGCTTGAATTGGTTGGGATTGGCGTTTGGGATGGAAATATGTCTGCATGTGGATTGAGGACAAGGACCTTTTCGGTCTCTAGTTAGGTATCAGCATTTTGATTTGATGTACATAATATATGAGTAACTGGTAATGATGATGCATCTACATGGCGTATCATATATCGAGAAAAAAGGTCAATTTCAATGTTTGCTTATATTCAATTTACCAAGTATTTCAAGGACAGTGTGGTGCTTGATCCGAAGCATCAAAGCCAGGACGAATGGTGAGAGAGTGCTCTGTATAATCAGATCTTAAAAGACCTTAGTAGTAAGGATTGACGAATTAAAGAAGAAACACTATTTTCCCAACGTCCAAATAAAAAAGACCCGGTTGGTTTCAGCAACCAGCCATCATATGTAACCAAAAACAAACCCCCTGCGTACCAGAATCAATAAAAAGGGAAAAGAGCAATGCTGGGGAGCAAAGGGATATAAAAGTCATGAAGCAGAGCGAAAAAAAAGTCCAACGTTGAGCGTCGTCAAGAAAGAGCATCCAAGGGATGAGAAGAATCATGAAAAGGAGGATTATGTAGAAGAAGAATTAAAAAAAAAATGTGAAAGAATCAAAACAATATTAGGTGCCCGCGGGGTTTCGATTAGATTGATTACCGCGGGCAAATATAGTGCAGAAAGGATGCCCCAAGATGGTGTCTGTACACACCCCGTACATATATGCAATATTGTACGGTCAATATAGCTGGATCAGTCGGAGCTGATTTAGATGTTCACGACCATGGCGGCAATGGCGCCAAAGGCCAGGGTCAGCATAGAGACGGTGGCACTGGTAGCACCGCCAGTGGCGGAAGATGTGGACGCAGCGGCAGCGGCAGCAGTCGTCTTGGAGGCCGCTTGGATATCAGCAGAACCGGTCAGAACGTGCGGCTGGTAGGTATAGCTTAGTGTCGGACTCGACTTGGGCAGGCGAGTGCTGGGGCTAGTGATGCTCGACACGGAATTCGTGGTTGAAGTGGGGCTAGCAGTAGAGGTAGAGCTAGAGGTGGAGCTAGAGGTGGAGCTAGAGGTAGAAGTGGGAGTGGGAGTCGAGGTTGAAGTCGACGAAGGAGTAGATGTGGAGGTGGAGGTGGGGGTCTCGGTAGTGCTGGTGCTGGTGCTGGTTGGGGTAGGAGTGGGGGTCGAGGTGGAGGTGCTAGTGCTAGTGCTGGAGCTGGAGGTGCTAGTGGAGGTAGGAGTGCTGGTGGAAACCTCGATGGTCTCAGACGAGGTGCTGCCGTTACTCTCCTTCTCGAAGACGATAATGTGCGCGGTTTCACCCTTGGGGATGGTCACGACGCAGCCGGTGGCGCCACCAGCGCCAGTGAAGGGCTTACCGACCATCTCGTTGACATTGTTGACAGCAGGGTCGATCTTGCAAGGCAGGCCGTGGCAGCCGTCGCCCTCACACTCAATCTCGACACCGAAGTCAGGCATAACATTGCGGAAGGGTGTGGCGGGTTCCAGGTAGATAGGGTTCCAGCCAATCTTCAGGAAGGTGTTGCCATCGCTGTCGGTGTTGGCACCGGCGGTGTACGGGGACCAGTTACCGACAGGGTTCTTGGAGGTACCCCAGACACAGCCTTCCTCCGCACTAACACCAGGGGCGTTAATGTAGTACTGGGCAGCAGTGGAGCACCAGTAGGACATGCCGGGCACGGCCAGATCAGCCAGCGAATCAACCATGGTGGGGATAAGCATGGCCTCGTTTCCGGGTAGCACAGTCTGGCAGAAAGAGACAGACTTTCCGGCCTTGTTGTGGGCCTTGAGAACACCAGTGGCCGACTCACAGTAGTCACGGTTGGGGAAGGGTTTCTGGATTTTGCCGTCATCGTCACAGTACAGACCACCTCTCATGGACATAGGGTAAGAGTAGGAAGTCGCCTTGGGATCCCACTGCATAGACACCTGACCGGGAGGGCAAGCGTAAGGGCAGTAGTTACCAGGTTCGCAGGGCTGGTCGGGGCTCATAGCCCAACCGGCGTTTTTCTCATTGGGGGTGATCTCAACCAGGCCAGCGTCGGAGGGGAACTCGCACTTCCCACTCCTCTTTCCCAAAGCCACATGGCTATGGGTCTGGCCATGGCTATGTTTGGCAGCTTCAGCGCTCGCAATGAGGGCGACAAGCGCGGCTGCGCGGAAGGATGTAATCTGGAACTTCATTGTGTCAGGGGGGGAAGAATTGGCAAATTGATAAATATCAATGAACGAATGAATATATGAAGCGAATGGCTAAGTCAAACGAGTGACAAAAAGATACGGCCGATGGCCAAGGACAGACACAGTGCTCACAGAGAATGAAGGTCAAGACGAGAGAAAGGAAAGAGACGGGGAAAAGCCCCAAGAAAAGGGACACGGCCACTAGTGAGCAGGATCCTGGCTCAGGTCCACGAGTGTGCTAGGCTAGAAAAGCGTTAGATCTGGGATGATCTGCGCACAATTCCAGCACAGAGCAGACTTCAGGAGCAGTTCCAACTTTCATGGACGGCTCGTCCGTGATTGCCCATAATTTCCATAATTGCTGCCCCGAAACAGGGATTATGGGAGTAGCCTTGGACCCCCAAAAACTGTGCCCCTGAAGCAAACCCCACTAGTGGACAGCCACATGGAACCACTAGACACTTAGTGTCAGGGGCAATGATAGTCTGCAGCCAATGATGAGCGCCATTACCCCGATAGTTCCTGCTTAGCAGGGGGGTGCAAGGCCAATAAGTTGAGAGATATGGTTCTGTGGAGTTATATCCCGAACTCTTTCAACGGCGAAAAAGCAAATTGTAATTTCACAAATGAGACAGAAAGGTGGAGAGTGGAGGAAGGAGGAACGCGTTGCTCGGCGCAACCTTTGGCAACCTTGATCTTATCACATGATATCTCAACCCTCTAACCTTTGAACTTGCAACTTTCCATTGCAATAAATTTTGTGAAAATAAATCAAGTAAACCCAGAATGCATCGTACGTTGTACATACATCAAAAGGAGAGAACTCCACCGAAGTACATGAATGGGGAAACCAGGCTAATAGTCCCAAGTGGAATACATTTTTCCTGTAACCTGGTAGCACGTCAATCCCAATCAAACCCACCATACTACCTACCACACTGTTCCGGTCTGGACCTGTTAATCATTAGTGGGCTCTCGACTGGTTTTTTTTTTTTTTTTTTTTTTTTTTGAGAGGCACGGAATCACATGGCCAAGATATCCGAAGCCTTAGAACGTGTTATCCCGACTGTCAATGTGCCTCTTGGTGTCTTGGTGTCTTAGGTTAAACCTTAGCCGAGGAGAATATGGGGTTTTTTGATGGCATAGCAAGGGATCAACAGGATCACCACTGTGATCACTTTGATCACGTACTCTATCGGATGCTATGCACAAGACGCGCCAGACTTGCGCAAATTGTAATAAATAGTAGGAATGTCAATGCAAGAAGCATGGTGCTGATTTAATACGTGATGCAGGTGTCGAATATCGGTATATACGATGGTTTGAGCCAGTCATATCAGATTATTCAAGCTTTCCGGCTTACATCGTCAGGGATAAACACTATATAAGTACTCCTCTTTATTATGCTTCTTCGGACTTTGATTTGTGATGAGCTATTTGTCGGGATATTCCAGCAGCCCTAACGGTAGCGATCCTTGCATCAGCCGATCACATACCGCTGCAACTGGTGCTAGGACTGGAAATCAAGAAAGGCAATGCATCACGCACGATGAACAGGAAGTCTCTTTTGAGTTTGCTGCAAGGACTGTTGATGTTCCTCGCATGGTGAGTATCCACCCAGCCGATTACTTAGCTTTCGCGGGGCCCCAGTGCATCTGACAATATATGACAGGTCGCATTGGCACGGTCACACCCTTATACTGTAAACTCAAATCCTGAATTAAGCCTTATAGGTCTGCGGTTGGACCAGGGAAGATAGGGTTGCACTTTGGGGTTCAATGTAATATGCAGAATCTACTCGGCCTTGCTCACCAGTTAAAGTCATCTAGGAAACTTGGTGGCATTACATCGCCCTCTAAATTTGCTCTGTAGATTCTGCATCGTGTTGGACAGAGCTTCATTCTTGCCCCGAAGTTATTTTGGTTTGTATTTTCAGATATGCATCATGACTTTTCGTTATAGAGCTGTATCATCAGACATCAAATATTCACAAATGAAGCTACTCGTCGTGCTGGGCTTCGAGATTCTTCCACCCAGCGAAAGCCGGGGCATCGTGGCGGTCTCTCCATCCCCAAGCAATGCAATAATGCCGTGCAAGTAACTGCCACTCCTCCATCTCATCGAGCATCTCCAGCCCAGCAACTCTTTCTTTCTCATCCTCATTAACCCACCGTTTCCAAATAAACTCAATATCAGCCGCAGCCTGACCATCCCCAAAGCCCTGATCTTGGAAGCGGCCTCTTTGCGCCTCAAGCGACGCATACGTAGGTAGAGTCTTGAGTTGAATGCCCCGCGCCGCAAGGTTCGACACCATCGTACGACCAAAGGCATCATTCGGTCGAATAGGCTCATAAAGAATCAACCCGAGCGGAGCAACATTCGGCTGCGCCGCCTGCAATATGTCTCCAGGCCCAGATACTGGATTCCCATGACCAAAAAGGCGCTGCGTGAAGAACGCAACCACCTGTTCCGCTTCGATGGGCGATAGGTAGACCAAACAGCACTCAGAGATCAGCAGAGTCGGCAATCCCGTCTCCACGCCTGGCAGTGCTCCGGCAGGGTCACTGCAGGTCGACAGCGACCGCAGATCAACCGGGTGGACATGGTACGAGGGCGAATGGAACGCGTCCCCGGCCTCCGACACGGTAACTCGAGTATCCTTTTCCGACGAAACCTCCGATGAGTTAATCCCAAGCGCGCTCTGCAGTACAGGCGCCGATCTGATCGCGCGGATCTTTTCTGCCGTGTTGACAGCGAAATCGAGCTCGTGGTAAACGAAATCCGGGGTTTGGCGTGATGAGAGAAGCCGGAAGATGCGCGTGTCAGACCCAGCGCCTAGAGATATGATTTGTTTCTTGTGTGTATTTTCTGCTGAGTTCGGGCCGAGGAAACGCGCCACGAGCTGGTCGATGGCTGTCGTGCGGGCGTAGGTTCCTGGTGCGCGGGGAGATGTCTCGGTCAGCCATAGGCTTTTTTGACATTGGGGATAGCATGGTTTGAGAGACCTGGCTCACCTCTGTTGATAATTGGCAATCTCCGCGTCGCTGACCCGACAGGTGTCAATGCCGCTGCGTATGCATCCTCTAGATATCCTAGCTCGACGGCACTGAGGCGGGACACGCTTGCGTCATTGTCCGTGCCTTGAACAATGCGGTCTTTTCCAGAAGGGAGCCCAGGGAGTCCAGTTTCTTCTGTGCGACCTATGCCACGGCCTCGGCCTCGGCCTCGTCGTAGAGTGTTTAGGTTGGGAATGTGAGAGGCCATGGGGAATGGAGGAAGCTTGGAGCTTGGGCTTCCGTGGTGGGGTAGCTATCTGCCCAGGACATGAATATCGCCAATGAATTCCACGATTTCTTCATGCTCTCTAAATTTTAGTATAATATTTCCAAGCCAGTTTCACAATTGTATATCTTTGCCAAATTAATCTGCGTCCTCGCTCTATTTCTTGTTTGATCGACTCAGTGACTATAACCCTAATCTTCGTCATTAAAGATCATACTTATAAACCTAGAATGCTTGTGTTCAACAGCGAAGACAATTGCAGAAAGGATATATATTAAATGTCTCAAGCTCAACATTTGCCACAAAAATCCGGCTCTTTAATGTCAATACCACCAAGTTACCACAGTGCCACGCCTTTTCAACCCTCCCAAGGACAATATCCCTGCCGATATACGTAATAGTAGAGCTGGTACCAGATCTACACTTAAGCCAACTTACTCTTGGCAAAGGCAATAGCCTTTGTGCCATACTCAGCTCCGTAGCCTTGGTGTGTCGCGCCGTTATTGCCATTGCAGCAGTACGGGTCCGTAGAGTCGCAATATGATTGAATCTTCCTAGCCGATGGGCAAGAGAAGCCAGAAGGCCGTGCGTCAAACTATATCTCGAGCATTAGATCCAAAGCTCCCAAGTTTAGGGGTGAATAGGGAGTCCATACGCCCCCAGCAGCACAAGTTCCAACATCATATGACAGCCCTGCCACATACAGCGGATCACCCATGAAGATAGCTGCCTTGACCATGTTCACAGCAGACGTCGACAGCTGGACTGCAGTGTTTGTGTAGCCTTGGTTTGGGACGCCGCCGCCGCACAAGGCTGCGTCCATAATTTCACCACCCTGGAGCATCGTAAGAAGTTGGTCTTTTGTTTTGAATGACTGAGGGGATATAGCTCACCTGGGAATATCCGACCAGAACAAGCTTAGTCGATGGACACTGTGTGTTATAGGAGTTCACAGCCGATGCGACAGCTGCGATGCCCTGGGCAACTGAGCTTGAGTAGCTCACGCTGCCGCATGACGATTGTCCACCGCATGCAGGGTATCTAATGGCCTCGGCTGTAGAGCCTGAGTACGCACTGAGGAGGCCATTGACGACCGTGCTGGATGAGCCGTATCCTGGGGATACAGAGGTCTCGCGTGCACCAAAGATGTGGACGCCCGGGCAGTCGATACGTTTCTCAATGTCAACCTCAACCGGGACAGCGAGGGCACTGCCGGCAAGGAGGGAGAATTTCAAGATGTTTGAGATCATGGTGTCGATGGATATCGATCAAAATTGGGACAAGCTAGTTTTTGTCTTGAATATGCTCTTCTTTGATGTTTCGGACTGCGAAGATCACAGTTGCTTTATGTGGATTGGAATGTCCCCTCGGCAATTGGAGTCAGAAGACCATGGCATTTTGCAATTTCTAAGGTTGTCCCTTTCGACCGGGCGGGGCTTTTGCCTAATCGTCATTTGAGTATGAAACATTCTGTGTTGTGACAGGATCGCCAGTTTCAACCGTGAAGAAATGGAACAAGAACCCACAATTAGGCTGAATCAACCGGTGTATAGGCTTGCGCAGGGCTAGAGTAGCTTAAACGTGACAGCCCATTGGATATGGGGTAGGAAATGTGACCCTCCTGCATATACCTTGCGGTAGTTCTCCGCGTTATTATAGGCAATAAAATCGTCAGATCTTTCTGGGGTACAGCGTTCCTCGCTCTAACTGGTTTAGGACGAGCTATGATTCTTCACGTACATTTTGGCAAAAAGGGTATATCCATTCTCAGGGCTATAGGCAGATATAGAGACCTAATTGTAATGTTGTGATTACCCAGAGATGGTCTCAGCATAGACATCGGAGATAGTCGGGTCAACTTCCCAATCAGGGATGGCTCGAAACGTACTTGTTTCATTGGTCTCAGCTATAGTACGGAGTATGCAGAGTGCTAAAGGTGGCCAGGCGGTTCTTTTATTCCTGATGGGGTCCTGGGATGCTTCTTTCGTGGCTACCGGACAGAACCCGAAGGCCCTGCCCTTTGTTTGTCATGTCATGTCTCTTTCTATGTACAAGTGAACTGAAACAAAGTTTCTAAACATAAACAAAGTTGTTTCGGCAAAGAGGACAGGTGCTCTGGTTGCTGCTCTTGAACCAGCGGAACAGACAGACCGAGTGGAAGGTGTTCTTGCAAGTGGCACACCGCTTGTTCGGTGTCTGCATGTCTGTTGAGATAACAGAGTAACAGATAGCACACTCGCTCTGGCCCTTCAAAGCACCTTGGACATTCCGTCGGAAGGCCAACAACCCGTCAACTAAGTTGCCGTTGGCAAACATAATCACACCCTGGATTGTCAGCAGCCAGCTCTTCCATTTCTTCTCGTCCACAAGCACGCGACTGCGACCGACAACCAACGCGGGTTGAAGCGGGTACGCGGGTGGGAGAGTGATAGAAATGGCAACTGGGGGCGACTCCTCATCGACTGGAATGCTAGCAATAATTTCGCCTGTCTTCGGGGAAATCTTCACCTCCAGTGCGCGCTCTTCGTTTGCATCCTGGGTGGCAATCCAGTCGCCCACGCTTTTCAGTGCATCTTCAACGACAAATGGGGAGATCTGGAAACAATATTAGCCATGGTTGCTGCTTTCAGAGGGCCGACCACCAAAGATCACTTACGTATCTCTCCGACCAAGTTTCCACCGGACCCTTGATGCGTTTCTTGGTGTCAATCCACCAATTCTTAGTCATGTTGGCAGAGTATCTCAGGCACAGGTAGTACAAATGCACCAGGAGCCATTGTGTCTCCTTTTCGGCACTCTCGGACTCATCTGGCTCAAATGATCGAATATCAAGTTTGGATGCATCGATCATCTGTCCGTGTGATTTTTGAAGGAAATCAAACGTGAATTCCAGCAGTGGGATGAGGATATTATTCTCTCTAATGCTTGATATGTAGTATTCTTGGACAGGAAGCGACTGAGCGGACCGTTAGCAAGCTTATCTTGAGTTGGTCGTGGAAGAATCAAACTTACAGCAGTTGAGAAATGGTCAAATACAACCTTCCAGCTGAGCAGGTACGCCCGCATACTGGTCCACATCTTGTCATCTCCGTAGGCAGCAGAGACCATTTTCATTGTCGGGGGTTCAAGCAATAGAGACACGAGCTCATCAGGAAGACTGACTGAAGTCTTTGATAAGGCGACCTCAAAAGATACCTTCTCCTGAGCAAGGGGAATATAGTGATGGAGAATGGTGTAAGCAGTTCGCTGAACTGCTCGACTATGCGCAGTCAGAAGGTGGAACGTTTCACTGACGTCCTCCAAGCTGTCAATGGGGATAGTGTTGATCAGGCGTCGTAACAAGTCAACAGCAACATCCCGAGGTTGATGGAATGTGGTTGAGGAATCTATATTTCGTTAGACATATCAATGATGAGAGAAACCTAAAGCGCTTACCAAACGTATCAATGGTGGAGGCCAGGGCATTGAAAAGACCGGCCTTTCGATCTGACCAAGCATCCTGGACGTCATCATTGCTGTCACTTTCCGAGATAGACTTCAATCGTGCGAAGAGTCTGAAAGATGACACTAGTAATGGTAGAGCCTCTTCGCCTCCATTTGTTTCCCGCAACACAGAGTTTAGAATGTCCATGCTTTCTTCCCAATGGGATCCATAAATTTCCCCGAGAGCTGGAAGAACAAGAGTCAAGGTTTGGATAACCTCTGATTTCAAACCAAGAGACATTGAGTCAGATTGGAGACATTGAATCAAGTTCTTGGTGAGGAAAACCAATCGCTGTGTCGGAATGGTGGAGACAACATCTTCTTCTCCGGAAAATAGGATATTCAACAGAGCCAGCTTCCGCAATCCTACGCACAGTTAGTATCGGTGTTATATTTGCTAATATGTTGCGAGACACTTACCAAGTTGGGAAGGATCCTGGGGCTTAAGTCCAGTGGAATCGGCGATTAGCTCATTGCAGATTCTGTTTCCAATGGGATTTGAATGTATGGAGCTTCTCAAAACTGCAAACCACGATGCCGAGCGGATGAGATTTGCTGTTCGGGCCTCTCTGCAGATCTTCGCAACGTCCTCTGATGATTTGGACCTTTGCAATGAATCCGCAACTGTCATTATCTTGACGAAGGCTTCGCCAACCCTATAGTCCAAGGGGGATGTACCCTTTAGTTCCTCTAGTCTGGTTTCCCAGAACTCGGCAAACAAAGAGGAAATGGTCTTCTCGGGTGCGAAGCTGACTGGTTCATGGTCACGAATCCAGTTACCGAGCACCTTTCGACCAGCGAAAACAATGTCCATGTACTCTTCTCGCTGATCAGCCAGCTCGAGACCTGAGATGCCATTGCAATTCTCAATACTCAAATCGTCATCTATAAGTTGAATTGCCAAGGGCAAGAAATGGAACAAAGTCTCTAGATCCTCCTGGTCTAGATGTCTCGATAACTTAGAAGTAGAGAGAATGCTGATGGTGAATATTGCGAGGCGGAATGCAGAAGAGCGATGGTCTGAATCGCGAGGAATAGTCGGCCATAAAGCCTTGAAGGAGTCAGATAATTCACGCTGGACCAAGTGAACAGCGCCTCCTAGGGGACTTGTTATAGCAATGGAAGAGCGAGGTGGAAGTTGGAGAAAGGATGTGAGAGATTCCTCCCATGAACGACGAGAAGGCAGAATATCCTTCACGGTACTAGTTGCGCCTTCAGCCGTAAGACCTGGCAGCAATTCCTCTGCGATAGCAAGAAGTGATTCAATCCTGAACCCACGTTAGCAGAATTCCTGCGAAATATGGTAGTAATGGAGTACTCACGACAATGATTCTTCATCCACATGACTGAATCCATGTTGGAGAATTTCGATGCCCGACTTGGCACTCGTATTGCCAACACCAGATTCTTTCAATGATTTCAGCAGCGCTTCTGCCAAGCTTGCTACCTCTTCAGATGGCGATTCTGTGAGGAAAAGTAGCTTTCCTGCTAACTTCGATCCAAGAGGTCCATTTTGGAACTCCCGAACTGAAGATGGTGCAGACTTTCCGATATGAGAAAGCCCATGCAAGGCATCAAAGACTTTATCATCTAAAGATAGCGCCTCGATCAAAGATAAGAATATCTGATCCATCAATTCGCCGTGTGATGTTTTGTTTTGAAGGACTGCAGTGATGATAGGCCAATGGGCATGGCTTCCTTGGCAAGCTTTGCCAAGAGCCCGCACAACAAGCGAGTTGAGCTTGTCTTTGTGCTTAGCATGGTTGAAATCGAGAGAAGAAAGTAAGCTTTGGAGTACATGCACATTGGACTGCTCTAGTTCCAGGGCCAAGGCTCGCTCAACAACGTTCTCAAAACTAGATGCAAATCCATCCCACTGGCGACATTCCAAGATGATTGAAATCAACCGATCAGCAGAAGGTGAAAGCAAAAGCTCCGGTGCATCGTTTTGCACAAAGTTTTGGAGGTCTTGTGACCTTTTGGCGACAGATGGCAGGCTGCGAACACACTCCACCACCGTGGCGGCCGCTCCATATGGTTTTCCATTACGGGTGCGCAGGACTTGGAGACAACCTTCAAGAAGAGAAGTGCCTGTTATTTCAAATACCTCCGATACTTGAGGCTGGACCTCGGTATCTGCGACCCGTGAGAGAACGGCAGACTTCAAATCCAAGAGGCGTTTGGCTTGGGCACATATTGAGTCTTGAGATTCACGGAAGTCCTTTGATTGTTCTGGAGATGATAGCTTCACAGCTTCTAGAAGTCCATCGGAAAGGAATGTACACAATGATTGCAACTCCTGACCTTGCTTAGTGGAAGCCAGAATGAAGACATAATCCACACAAGTTCCTTCGGCTAACTCGGCCGGAAGTGACCATTGTGTCAGCTCTGGGGCAATTTTCACATACTGCACCACCAAAGGAGACAGTCTCTTCCCGATGAATTCGGATTTTTGCTCCTGGGGGACCAATGTCGCAAGCCATGTTCCTATCTGAGTATAGGATTTCCATCCGATGGCAAGGTTTGAACGCGGTTCTTCTCTCGAGTTGAGGCCTTCTTGCAAAGCTTCCGTCAAGGCAATTGCGCTGGTAAAAGTAATTCCATGGTCAGCAGTGGCCTTGTCGGCGCCTGCTAGTACTTCTTGCGGGATGATTCGAAGCAATTGGTCTAGATTTAACCAAAAGTTACAGTGCCCACCCTGAGACCCTTTCTGCATGTACTGGCGCAGTCTCTTTGAGGCAGATGATTTTCCTGCGTAGTCATCTGT